CGCTGCAGGTGTCCCTGCTATCGCCTCAATCGTTGCCATGTGCGTGGCACAGATCCTTCGCTCCGGGGTTATTCGAGGAGTTGGGTCTTTTGAAACGCTATATGAAGCCTTTGGTCCCTTGCATCCGGAGGATGTTAAATCTTTATGTTTTGACAGTTTCCCGCTGAATCCTCTCGTTTGAAAACGGTACTCATTGTTCAGTACCGGAAAAATGCTATTTGAGCGGTATCAGTGAGTTGTTAGCTTACGAAGGTTCATTCGAGTCATTACCTATCCACATCGCCAAAATGGGTCCCGCGATGCCCCTCGTCGATCGGAGTCTGGCGATCTTCCTTGTGTCAATTATCATAATGTCGATTTCCGTTATAGCGGTTTCATTGAGGAGTTTCGTTCGCCTAAGCATCGTTCGTGCTTTTGGGTGGGATGATGGTTTGATGGTTGCAGCGCTGGTCAGTTACTTGTTATCCTGGTATGAAGATTGTTCGTTGACTTTGTAGCAGGCGCTGTTTATCATGTTGAACACCTGTTGCATTCTTGGATCAATGAACGGGGTTGGCCATCCCTATGAAGACTTTACAAGCAATGTTGTCTTCAAGAAAGCACTGGTGGTAAGTTGTTCCCATGAGTATACTTTCATGGCTTGCTAATTCATTTTCAATAGTGGTGGTGGCTTGGTCAAATGATCTACATCTGGGCAGGCTCAGTCGCCAAAATATCCATTGCGCTTGCCCTCCTTCGCTTGACGATCAAAAAATCTCATCGCCTGATCCTTTGGGGCCTAATTGGTACTGTTATTTCCATTGGCCTCTTGTTCTGGTTTTTTTTACTATTCAACTGCCAACCAATTGGCTACTTCTGGCAACAAGTGGATCAAGGAAGTAAAGGGAGCTGTCTGCCCTTGTCTACTCTGCTGGGCATTACCTATTTTTACAGCTCTGTGACTATCTTGTGTGATTTGACTCTCGGCATTCTACCCGCTTTCCTGGTATGGAACCTGCAAATGAACCACAGGACAAAGCTGGCCGTGGGAGGAATCCTCAGTTTGGCTGCGCTGTATGTGACGTTGACCCATATTGCAGGTGGAAGAGAGTTGCTAACATTCACCAGGGCAAGTGTGGCAGTAATCATCCGAATCCCCTTTTACAATCCTACGCCGATGCAGACTTCCTATGTACGCTGCCTACCGACCACCTGTACCCCCACCCAACTAACAAATATCTAGACTCAACCTTCCAAATCGCCATTTGGTCCGTCATCGAGACCGGCCTCGGAATCACAGCGGGCAGCCTCATCACCCTCCGCCCTCTTTTCCGCTGGCTCCTAGACGGAACTATGGCCTACAGTCGAAATACCCCCGGCGCAAACAGGAGCTCACGCAAATACCAACTGTCCAGTTTAAAGCTGGACAGCTCGAAAGGGGCCCGGGACCCCAGCTACTGGAGGCCTGACCTCGATCCCGATGATAACAAAAGTATCATTATTACTATTTCATCGCCGCGGAGACAGCAATTTAATCTCACCAATAGCAGTGAGGAGGCTTTGTATCCTGAGCTTGGCTTGACGCTATCCAGAAATCATGTTACTATCCAGAAGACTTTTGAACAGGTCGTTACAGAGCTACCGAAATAGACTTTCCAGTGTGACCACAACATCTACACAATTAACCAGGATAGTCGAGATTGAGTTGTATAGTAAGAAAAAGTAGCTGACCATGCGAGCAACCCAAGATTAAGTTTCCTAATCAGGCTAGCTTCCCCGGATTTCGCCTGTCCCAACTCTGGAGTCACAAAAAGTCCACCTGTTGTTCTAGTTGCTAGTCCTCTACTAGTTCTTATCTAAGAGTACCATGCCAAAGCCAACGGCCTTCCCGAGAACCCCAAGCCTCACTCTCGCTTATTTCAGCAGAATCAATACGGGGCCAACACGTGGGGCGTGGACGCCTGAGGAAAACCAACGACGATAGCCGGCCATGATTGGACGATAACTGCCTACTGCTGAAATCGGCTTGCCTGATTTACGCACTGCCACTATCCCCTCAGCAGCTGAAGATGCAAGTTGAAATGGGGGCAAGCTGAATGGCCCGCTTTGGGCTTAGACTGCCGAAAGTGGCGTTGGGTGTTCGTGCACGGTGGGCGGGCTAGAATGTGATAGGTTCGTTTGAACTGTGAGTAAAGGTGATAATTTAGAGCGAGGTTCGGGGTTAGCTCTATTATTTGCTTTTTGAGGGGTGTGGACGTGTCGGGGAGGGATTTTTTAAATAGAAGGCTGTGTTCGCGCTGTTCGCAGGGCAGAGACCTTCTCAACAATCCTTAATTTATTTTCGCTTCTTTCGTTGCTCCTAATCATGTCGCTATGTCGCGAGCCCCGTGAGAATGTCAAGATAACCCCCGTTCGCAAACGTATCATCATCTGCTGTGACGGGACATGGCAGTCCTCCGTATCGGGCAAGAAGAACGTCCCGTCAAACGTCACTCGCCTCTGCCGCGCTCTGAACGGGTTTGGAATCGACGAGAATGGTGAACAGTGGCAACAGATTGTATGGTACGACTCCGGAGTCGGCACTACTTCCCTCGCCATTGGTAAGAAGATTGAAGGAGCCATCGGCCAAGGACTCGAAGGCAACGTCATCGAAGCATATAACTTCTGCGTGATGAACTATTCCCCCGGCGACCAGATTATGTGCTTTGGTTTCTCGAGAGGCGCGTACACGGCTCGTACTATTGCCGGGTTGATTTCCGATGTTGGTATTTGCAGCAAGCAGGATCTCAACCGTTTCCCAGACCTCTGGGAGGCTTACAAGAACCGACCGCAAAGGGGAGAACGGTTCTATTGCAGTGATCGCTGGTTTGAGTGGATGGAGGGTAAGGCTGATGAGCACCAGGGCGCTAAAGGTGAGGACTTTGTTTTTGCGGAGCGCGCTAAGGGTGACTGGGCTCAGCCAGGCTCTCGGATTGTGGAGGTTGTTGGTGTTTATGACACCGTTGGTTCCATTGGCTTGCCTGCAGTGCTTGGTGTTAAATTGCCATCGAAGTGGTTGTGGTGGGCGGATCAGGCTGGATGGCAGAATGTTACACTTTCAGCAAGTAAGACCCCTCTTCTTTGGTCATCGATTGCTGAGATACTGACTATGGCTTCTTAGATGTCAAACATGCTTTCCAGGCTTTGGCTCTCGATGAGCACCGCGAGGCCTTTTCACCCACGCTATGGTATCTCCCGAGATTCGGCGAAGCTAAGGCGAGCGATATCGAAGCACAGAAGATAGTTATCGAAGAAAAAGCTGAAGAATGGGACAAGCTGTTGCAAGCTGCAATCGACCTCAAGTCGAGTGGAAAGGCTACTGACAAGGAGGTCAACGATGCTGCCGTCGAGCTTAACAAAGTGGCAAGAGCCTTGAACCAGGCGAGTCGCGAGCTTTTGCGGATGGAAGACGATGTAAACCACCAGCTCAACCCTCGTACGCTAAAACAGGTGTGGTTCCCCGGCTACCACATTCACATTGGTGGCGGCTCGAACACAACCCTGAAGAAAGAAGGTGACATGGAAGAGATGTCCAACATCACCTTCTCATGGATGCTGGACCAGATCAAACCCTTCCTATTCTTGAACGAGGAATACCTATACATTGAAAGAGGCGATAGGGATCGCGAAATCTCGACCATTCCCGAGGACCCTCTGGAAAACGAGTCCTGGGGATCATGGCTTGGACGCAATGCCGCAGCAACAGCCTCTGCAATCCGTCACCCCTTCACAGCAGCCGTCAAGCCCGTCCAGAAATTCCGCAAATACGGCTGGGGAACCGGTAACCTGGAAGATAGCTTCACACCTTTATACTACCTCAACGGATCTTTGCGACGCACTCCCGGAAATGAAGTTCTGGACAGCAACAACCAGCCACTCGGTGATACCTGCGAGTTCATCCATCCGGTTGTTGGGTACAGGGTGAAGACGAAGGGCTACAAACCCATTGGTGGTGCGCATTACTTCCGCTATCAGACGACGTACAAGGATGCGAAGGATCATGATAAGGAGAAGCCGTGCTTTGAGTACGAGATCGGTAATGCACGCAGGCCATTGCGTGAGTGGCAACTGGGTGGACCTGATTCTTATGAGAGGCTGGCTATTGCTGGCGAGGAGGCTTACGAGTATGTCGCCGAATTGGATGAGGCGTTGGGGGTCAAAAAGACCCCTGGGTTCTGTGGGGGTGATTTTCAGCAGGAAAGATTTACCCAGGGTGGATTTCAACCCGTTCCATTCTCTCAAGGAGGATTTAAGCAGAATGGCTTTCAAGAGCAAAGGGATTTCCAATCGACCGGCTTTGAAAGCAAGCGCTTCCAAATGACTTCGGGGGAAACCTTGATTGAGGAAACGGTGACTCGAGGGTGATTGGGGTGTGGAACTATATTGCCAAATATCCGGATGGCCCCCGTATATGATTATTTCACAATTTAATGTTTATATCAGTTGCTTCTGACCTTGGGGCCTCGGGAGGGCCAAACCCCGAATTGACATAGCAACGAGGTGAGACGAAAGACGGACTCGCTTGTGCGCCGAAGGAGCACACAGGTGCAGCTCCAACCTTGGAAAACTTGCCCTTAGTATGGCATAGAGAAAGTACCGAGAAAGCCTCAGAAATGGCCTAAAAATAGGCCAGGAGCCGGTTCACACATGGACATGTGTGCCACTGAACCCTGTTTCTCGCGAAAACAAGCATTGTGGAGTGCATTTGGCTGGATAGGTGACGTCGAACGGTAGCCCTATGACCCCACAGGGCTGAAATTCTCAATCTCCATTCTGAGCTAGTCCAGTCCTCCAGTTTTTTCCAGATGCTCTGCATTTAGTGAAAGCTAAGATCTACGTCATCGCTGAGGGGAATATATCCATGGAACTTAACTAGATCTGAGATGTCCGTACCTCGGCCTGTACCTGTTCCTTTTCTTCTGCTTTTTGTTATTTTCGTTATCTCTGTTTTCTTCCTCTTGAAGCGCAGATATCAATATACTATGGTCCCACGCAAGGTCTACGAGCTATGTCACCAGCCAGAGACCGTCACCTCGGAGTTAGCGCGCGACCCGTCGCAATGTCCGACAAAGCTCTTCCACAAACTCTTCGAAGGTCACCATCTATCACCTCTACCCAAACATGGGTCAGATTCGAGCTCAGAATCAGCATCGGAATATGAAAAGCTAGACGACTTACAAAAAGCTCGCGCATGTGGAAATTTTGGATCTGCCGAACCGAGCAATCTCTTCTTACAGGTAATTTCCTTGGATCATTTCACTAGGTAAAATCTAACTCCATCCCCTACAGATCTACCATGATGCCTTATGTTCCTTAGAAAAGAACCCCACGTCGGGGGTTGTCTCTCCCCAACTGATGGGAAGTACCGGCGTTGTACCACTAACCATTGTCGCTCCATTACCCGATCTCTGCCGCCATTTAGCGAATTGCATTGCACGCGCCCAACATGAAGTCTTCTTGGGGACCAATTTTTGGGTTTACTCGAATGCGTCGACTTTAGTGACGAATGCTATGCGGGAACTTTCTAAGCGGGCAGGTGAACGAGGTCGGAAGGTCGTTATGAAGATGGTATATGATCGTGGTGATCCTCGTCAGGTGTCTCCCCTATAATCTGGTTCCTATAATGGATGTACTTGTGAGACAGGACTGATATATCAGCAGGCATGGGAAAACCGGCTCAGCGTCCATGAGGACCAGTACACCGGCGGGAAAGTGAAACTTCCCCCAGCGAGCGAGATCCCCAATGTTGATCTCCAGGTTATCAACTTCCATCGGCCGATCTTTGGGACATTCCATGCGAAGTTTACTGTCATCGATCGACGCATGGCACTGCTGCAGAGCAGTAACATCCAGGACAACGACAATGTCGAGATGTTGGCTCATATCGAGGGTCCCATCGTGGATAGTTTTTATGATGCTGCTTTGCTTTCTTGGGGAAAGGTTCTGGAACCTGCACTCCCCCTTTTGAATTCTCCTGCTGCGGATGCTCCTATCCCAAGCTATGAGGAGAAGCGTAATGGTGCTTCTGCTGAGAGTGGTGCTCAGGTTCTTCCTCAGCATACTGTCAAGTCCGAGCATTATGATCTTGATCTCGAACATGAGGCCGAAAGAGTTAATGATAGCGTTATCCCGCGAGGAGAAGAGAAGCCCACGCAGACCGTTAGCCGTCATCTCAGTATGTCCCCGGTGCCCAGCTGATAGTTTATGACCATTTCTGACATTAAACCAGGTACAACAATACAACCTGACACGATAGGCGACGCACCAGACACCGACCAAGACCCCATCTTTACACCATACAGAGTCCTCCCCCACCACGAACCCGTACCAATGGCCCTCGTAAACAGAGAGCCATTCGGATGTAAGAATCCATTCCAATCCCCATCAATTCCAGCCTGCCTAACACTTGGAAGCCCCAAACCACAGCAACTCCCAGACCCCCCAAAACTCAGCCTGGATCTCAGCAATGAACCACGCAACCCACTCAATCCTAATCCAAACCCCAAACATGAACGCTGAACCCCTCCTTGAACCCCTCCTGAACGCAGTCCGCCGCGGCGTTATTGTCTCCTGCTATCTCTGTCTAGGCTACAACGACGCAGGCGAGCTCCTCCCTTTCCAGAATGGGACGAACGAGATGATCGCGAATAGACTTTACAACGCCCTCCAGTCTGATGAGGAGAAGGCGAGACTGAGAGTTTTCTATTACGTTGCCAAGGATCAGACGATGCCTATTCATAACAGTTTTAAGAAGAGGAGTTGCCATATTAAGTTGATGGTTGTTGATGAGCAGATTGCTATTCAGGGTGGGTATTCCATTTCCAATACCTTAATATATGACAGGTAGTATTGCGACTTGGATTGTTATCGCTAACATTATTTCTCTCTCCTACCAGGCAACGGAAACCTCGATACACAGTCCTTTTTCCACAGCCAGGAAATCAACGTTCTTATCGATTCATCGGTGGTTTGTCGTATTTGGCTGGAACTTATTGGTCGCAATCAGAATACTGCTAAGTATGGTGCTGCTAGTGCTAAGGATGGATGCTGGCATCATCCTGAGACTGGTGACATTCCGCCTGGTTCTATTGGGACTGATCCTGGGAGGTTTAGTTGGGCGAAGGGGTTTGTTGGTGCTGTACAGCGTGTGAGAGGTATCGGTGGGTTTTGAGACAGCTTTAGCTATGGACTCCGAGATTATTTCTTTCTATATGTTGTGTGATCTTCATGACATGTTGCTTATTTGCTCATTACTGGATATATATTTCGGCATGATTTGCTATCTTGCTGGGTTATATAGGGCTGTTAACACCAAATCAAAACTTCAAATCATTGAATAAAGTTGCCTAATAAAGCAAGTAAAGACAAATATGACTCCAAAACTTGAGGTAGCACATCATCCTAATCCTTTCAAGAGACATACATGTACAACCGGATCATTCCAGATATGCACCGAAGTCCTCCAGGGCTCTACTAGATGAAGAAATCACCAATTCACCACCATTACACTCTCGTACCAAAATCTTACCTCCTGAAGCCCAAAATGCCAAACCCCTACGATAAACCAATAATGGACATAGTGGACTACGTCTACAAGCACACCCTCGACGAAACCGACGAAAAGATATGGAGCAGCGCGCGAACAGCCCTCCTAGACGCAATGGCCTGCGCAATCTCAACAGCTGCAACAAGTTCCGAATGCATTCGACTCCTCGGTCCCGTTGTTGAAGGGACGACTGTACCGGATGGGTTTCGCGTACCTGGGACGGCGTTGGTGGTTGATCCAGTTACTGGGGCTTTTGGGATGGGGGTTTTGATTCGGTATTTGGATTTTAATGATGCGCTGGGTGGTGTTGAGTGGGGACATCCTTCTGGTATGTTGTTCACGATGATTACGATTATATTGTTATTTGATGATTTGGATGTATGATGCAGGGCTAATATTTTGAATTGTAGATAATCTCGCTGCTATCCTTCCAGTTATGGATTGGTTGGCTCGTTCATCTGCTTCTGGGCGGAGGGTCCATAAAGGCCCGCCGTTAACGATGCAGACGCTTTTGATTGCACTTGTCAAGGCATACGAGGTACAGGGGTGTTATCAGATGCAGAACGCTTTCAATGCCTATGGGATTGACCATGTAGTTCTCGTTAAACTGGCATCCGCTGCCGTTGTTTCTTGGTTGCTTGGGTTGAGTGAGGAGCAAGCCATGGCGACCATTTCGCATGTCTGGATGGATGGTCATCCGAACCGGGTGTACCGGGCGGGTGCTAATACTATCCCGAGAAAAGGGTGGGCGGCGGGTGATGCGGCGAGGAGAGCTGTGCAGTTGGCTCTTATTGTTGAACAGGGCCAGCCTGGGTCGCCCGGTGCTTTGAGTGCGAAGCCGTGGGGGTTCTGGGAGCGGACGTTTGGTGAGGCGGAGTTTAAGTTCCCGCGACCATTTGGGTCTTGGGCGGTGCAGAATGTGTTATTCAAGACTATGCCCGTAGAAGGGCACGCGATCTCGGCGGTGGAGGCCGCCATATTGCACGCTCGGCTGTTTCGACAAAAGGGGCTGTCCGATCCTCTTGGGCAGATCAAACAGATTGATCTTAGAACAACTGCAGCTGCGTATTTGATTGTGAACAAGCAAGGTACGCTGCACAATGCTGCTGACCGTGACCATTGCATTCAGTATGTTGTCGCCTTGGCTTTCTTGAAGGAAGGCCCGCCAGAGGCTGCAGACTACTTAGACAAGAGCCCTTGGGCAACCAGAGAGGAGTTAAGATCGTTGCGAGAGAGAATCATGGTGCGTCCTGACTCGAAGCTTACACAGGATTATTTTGATCTGGATAAGAAGAGCATCGGCGCAGGAATGACGGTCCATCTGGTAGATGGCTCCTCCATGCCTGAAATCTTGGTAGAATACCCCGTGGGACATGCACGGCATCCTCGAACACCGGCAGCGGCACAGAACAAATTTTTCCAGAACATGGGGCAGATGTTCTTAGCAGCGGAGATCGGTCGCATATTGGGGGCGGTTCAAAAGCCAGGTCTGCCAGTCTCAGACTTTGTGGATCTGTTTGTTCCGACGGGAAAGGCGAGACTGTAGATGACCAGACAGACTCGGAGCCATGAATGTGTGATGGCGCAAGCCGACAGTATCGATGATTATCTCAATACCTTAATCGATTCTGCCGACTCCTTGTAATGTCAAATAGACATCAGTGCCCCATCCCCAAAGACTCTGCACGGCGATACTACCACCGAAGTATTCAGCGTAAGCTCGGCTCAAGGGCAATCCATAACCAAGACCCGCAATACTGCTGAGATGGCCGCTGCTGGCAGAGATAGTATTCAAAGCATCCATTCCACCATTATCAGAGGATTGGAAATCCATATCCGAGAATGTCGTAAAACTATACGACCAGATATGAGGCAGAACCTCAGGCGGAATACCGCCACCACGATCACGGATGCGAATTGTGATGCTCTGAGACGATGGGGTCCAGTTCCCAATCGGTTCATTCGAGCTCCCTCTGTCGCTTTCCACATCAAGCTCAAAGCCGACATCGGTATCGCCCTGAACGGGACGCTCATTTCCAGGGACATCTGGCGCAGCAGCGATCGTCACTTCGATGGGTTCACGCTCGTTCCCGTTTTCGATGGTTGCCCGAAATGCGTTCTTCAATAATTCCGTAATGATGTACTCGACGTGCACAGGTACGTGAGCGAACGAAGCCTCAGGCTGGCCTCCAATCTTCAAGGTCGGTCGCACGCCATACTTTAGCTCGCAGATTTCTCCTACAAAGTCTTCACACAGTCGGATGATTCTTGCTGGCTGCAACGCCGTGTCAATGACTCCGATGTAGTTGGATGGGATCTTGCTCTGCTGTGTTGGTTCATCTGCTGTTTCAGCAGGCGTATCGCTCAGAGGCTGAGAAGCATAATGAAGAGCCAGATGTTGCTCGGCAATCAACCGCGTGCCGATACGAGCGCGCAGATGCGTGTCCAGAAAGCGTGTGACGTCGGCTGGGCTGACGTATTTCCTGCACTCTAGGAAGCCACGTGCGAGGACTGGGATTGTGTTTGTGTGTGTCTGTACAAGGTCGGCAAGCACATCTCCAAACTGATTCTCCTCTTCGAGGGTTGTGATTCGGCGTTGCTGATACGGTATGAGGGTCGACAGCGAGTGGACGTAATTATGGTAGATTTTAGAGACATGGGGATTTGATACGACAATGTATGGCAGGTTTCGCAGGGCTTGAATCCGAGAAGCCAGGCGGGCGGGCAGCAGTGACAGGGTGAAGTTGGCCGAAGCTAAAAGTGCGTCTTTGGACAGTGGTGGACGCCCGTGTCTAAATTGGGTAGAATTAGCACTTGGCTCTTTCAATTTGAATGTAAGCAACTCACTTGAGTAAGTCTGCCAGTGTCAAAGCCCGGCGAGGACTGGCAGCCAGTTGCGCAACGTTGTCTTTGGCAACGTCGAATGGATGACCAGCCCAATTTTGACCCTGTGATGTGGACGATTGGCGTACGAGGAGTCGCGTAGCCGGCAAAGCCCGACAACCAGGCCTAGACAACATGGCTATTGGCGTTGCCGTTGCGATGTGTGGTTGAGAGGAGAGAGGTGGGAGATAACGAGTGAGGCGGTGACCGCAGATCTGCGGGTATCGTCGGTCCAACATCTGTACTTGCGCTAGATCGGCATAATATTGGTGATCGAAGAAGATGTTTGCAGCTCTCAGTATGAGTGATACACGGTCGCACTCTTATGTCCTACAGTTGTACTCTACAAGCTCATAATTCATGAAATTGGTTCCATATCCATGGGTGCCTGTACCTCGCATTCGGAAGCTGGCTAATCATAAGTGCCTGGCATCACGGAGGAAAGCAGGTCGTGTATTGGTATCATATCATCTCGCTGAAGGAAGAATAAAAAAAGAATAAAAAGAACCCAGGGTATCCAGCTCTCGCATTTCCGTTCGGTCCATCAGTGGTCGTAGGGCAGATCGTCTCCGGTGCAATGCAAGCTCTTTAGCCCGGGGAAGAGCTTGTCGCATTCATAAGGAGGACTAGTTGGTGTTGACCACGCCATCCTGCTCGACATGGATGTGCTCGTTCGACTCAAGGGTCTGAACTTGGTCATCGGGGAACGCGACACTGTAGCTCCGGTCAGCATCCTAGTCCGCGGGAACCATTCGTAGTCGAGGCGAGATAACAAAGCCGCAGTACTCACGTGAACCCTTTGATCAGGCTGTATTCATGCTGGATGACACCGCCCTTCTCCTGAGCGGTCTCCTTGGCCCTTCAAGGAAGCGGGTTAGTAGTGTAGTGTCAGAGAGAGGGGCAATGCGACATACTTTTGAAGTTCCTCGGCGGGAGCGTCGGCCTTGAGGGTGATCTACAAGTTTCAAGTTTGTCAGTATGGAGCTTATCTGAAGCTTCCAAGAAAGATCGAGACTCACGTTGAAGACAGGCATGTTGAGTGACGTGATAGATATGACGGGAAGTGTGAAAGAGAGAAGTGGGGAGGGGAAAGGTGATGTTTTATAGGAGAGGGGCGGGGATTGCCTTTTGAGGAACCTCTGGGACTACACAGGCAACTACTGTACCCTACCCATCTTCTTTTTCTTACATCTTACATCTTACACCCTACAACCTACACCCTACGCCATACACCATACACCCAATCTTACCTTGGCTGCCTGGAGCCCCAAATCCCGAGGGATGTCAGTCTGACATGGCTGTGGCATCGGTGGCTGAAGCAGGAACTCAACAGTAGACTGTCACATTGATCCCCTGCAAGGGGGTAAGGGGGCACTGCAGATGTGTACGTTGATGTGACGGCAATGACATCTCCCGATGACGAAGGCGGGGCAGTCACGTGCGCTGCGAGACATACTTGCATTTGTTCCATAACTATTATTTTATTTTCATACTCCAACATATCCATCTTCTTCACGAGCTGGCATCTTCATGCCATGCATACCCTGGTATTTTGGGCACTCTGGGGACTTCCATCCATCTAGGACCTTATCATCAGCCAATTGGTACACCTCCACACCCAGCGGGCGACAAGTGGCCCCCATATCACCCTCCTTATCATCCCACCCCCAGTTGGAAAGATCACCTGAGGCAAATTAGCAGTGCAAACATTGTAGGATGAGCAGTTACATACCACCAGGGCATGCAGACAACGCGCATAGAACATCTACCTCTGCAAAGAACTCAAAGTATTCGCCCGCCTTTGCAGGGGATGTCTCCATGAAGTACTTCCCCTCCTCATCCAGCCCCGTCACTTGAAACACATTCAAGACATCATGGACATCCAACTCAGTCAGCCCATAGGGAGCCACAGACCGGGTCAGGTTTGAGTGGCAGTGGAAGTCAAAGGTCTCCCCACCCATAAGTAAGTTGACGTAGGGATCACAGCGAGTACCCATCAAGTCATGCACCCGTCCTCCAAACCGCGTAGTCCCGAATACAACCTCTGGCTTTCGCTTTCCATCTGGCCCAAGCACGTTATGCAGCTGCCCGCCGCCCAGCGAATCACCAGTGATCGTCACGAGGGGCCGCAGATATGGCAGGTTCGACCACAACCGGTCACCCACTGAGACGTGGGAGGCATGGATTTGACGGGTACGCGCCGCCCACATCCGTTCTCGGGGGTTGTTCGCGTTCCAGATATTCAAGTCGCCTACCTGAGGTCCCTTCGGTGTGGTCAGGCGGCAGATGGAGCCAGCAGGAACAATCCACGCTTGACCGGAACAGGGTCTGATAGTGAATGATTCCTTCGGAATACGCGCAGACGGCGTAGATGCCGTTTCGGAGATTGAGCGGTAAAGCTGTGAGGTCGCATGCACGCCCGAATCGGGTGGTGCTGTGTAAGCTGGGGGTGGTCTGCGAGACATTATGCACTTGTTTGTGGGGTGTAGAGGCGGGGTGTTGTACGAGGATTGAGACATGAAAGGTTCGCACAATCTGAAGGCGATATGCTGCACATTTATACGAAAGCGGGGGTTCGCGATATACTATAGTCCCCGAAAATAGGGCTAGCCGGGAGGGGAAACTACAGCCATAGATAGGAATGCTCCGGTTAGACAAGTACCATTTAGTCAGGAGAATGGCTAAAGCCAATGCTTGTGGGGAAAGGCGTTCAGCGTCGGCCCGATGAGGAGGAGGGTTGGAGAACTGCTTATCTTAGCTTATCACCGGCCCGGGAACGATAACACTAGTCCCTTCTTAGATGGATTCATGCCTAAGGCTGGAATATGGCGCTAAACCACATCGGGAGACTTTTCACCGCGCCGGGATCCAGGTATTTCCGCTCCGACAAAATAATTTTGGGCCAAGCAGTTGCAGGCTCACTTTACCTCGACTGCTCTTGCCTTCAATTTTCTCTGATATTAGAGAGGAGCCGTGAGGTCTTGCGCCTCACTATTGACAGTATGGAGCAACAGTCGAACAGGTCGCATCGGCCTGCAAAGGAGAAGAAGAAATATGAAGGTACGAGATCGCTCCGATGTGAGAGCTGCGAACTTTCCAAATCGACCTTTGCTAATTGCTACTTACTTTTGTACAGGTGCCAATCCAAAGGCCTTTGTCACAGCCAGGCCCGGCAAGCTCAACAAGCAGGCGGCGCGATCACACGACGTACGTACAAGAAATTTTTCTCCACCAATCGAAGCTAACCTGACTTCTCCTCTAGGTCAAGGAAAAGAGACTCCATGTCCCCCTTGTGGATCGCATGCCCGAGGAGGCTCCTCCCACCATCGTTGCAATCGTTGGACCCCCGGGAGTTGGCAAGACCACTTTGCTCAAATCTCTAATCCGTCGCTACACCAAGCAAACCCTCAGCTCGCCGCAAGGCCCGTTGACCGTTGTTACGACCAAGCGCAAGCGTCTCACTTTCCTCGAATGCCCGTCCGACTCTCTCGCAGCTGCCATCGATGTCTCGAAGATCGCGGACATTGTGCTGCTCATGATTGACGGAAACTTTGGATTCGAGATGGAGACTATGGAGTTCTTGAACGCCTTGTCAACCGCCGGTATGCCAGGCAACGTCTTTGGTATCCTTACTCATCTTGATCAATTCAAGAAGCAGAGCACCCTGAAGGACGCAAAGAAGCGCCTCAAGCACCGTTTCTGGAGCGAGCTCTATTCCGGCGCCAAGCTGTTCTACTTGTCTGGAGTTATCAACGGCCGTTACCCCGATCGTGAAGTGCACAATCTGTCCCGGTTCTTGTCGGTCATGAAGAACCCTCGTCCGCTCGTCTGGCGCAACTCCCACCCTTACTCCCTCGCCGATCGCTTCTTGGATATCACCCCGCCTACTCAGATTGAGGAGAACCCGAAGTGTGACCGCACAGTTGCTCTCTACGGTTACCTTCGCGGTACCAACTTCCCAGCGCATGGTGCTCGAGTCCATGTTCCCGGTGTTGGTGATTTGACTGTCGCTGGCATTGAGGGCTTGCCTGATCCATGCCCAACCCCCTTCATGGACCAGCAGATCGCTAAGGCGACAGGAAAGTCAAAAGCCCGCAAACTGGGTGAAAAGTCAAAGCTGCTTTTCGCTCCGATGTCCGATGTTGGTGGTGTCTTGGTTGACAAAGATGCCGTCTACATCGATGTCAAGACCAATACTTTTGACCGTGATTCGGATGAAGACTCAGAAGACGAGGACCGCCGCGGTCTTGGTGAGCAGCTTGTTGTGAACCTCCAGGGTGAGCGCAAGATGCTTGGTGAGGGTGATCAGGGTGTCCGTCTGTTCCGTGGTGGCGAGGCTATCGCTCAAGCGGATGATGATGAAACAGGTCGGAAGGGTCAACGCCGCGCGCGCATTGCCGAAACCGAACACGATGATCAAGAACTCGACGAAGATGATGTTTCCGAGAGCGAGGAGGAAGGTCAAGATTTCGACGAGGACATGAGCGATGATGATGAAGGCGAACTTGACATGTCAGCACCGGATGACTTTGAGGCTCGCTTCAAGGCCAAGCAAAACGGGAAGGTCGGAAAAGCTGGCGAAGAGGAAGATTTGGCATTCGCTGACAGTGACTCCGATCTTGGCTCCATATCTTCCGTCGAAGACCAGGAACTCGAGAGCGGCGATGAAGATGAAGACGAGGAGGATGACAATGAGGAGGATGAAGACGACGAAGAGGATGAGGAGGGCAATGTGCGATGGAAGGATAACATGCTTGCCAACGCTAAAGCTCTTCACGGAAAACGTCCCCCATTCCGAGTCACCGACCTGTCGAGAATGATGTACGACACTTCAATTACCCCGGTCGATGTCGTAAAGACGTGGCGTGGTGAGGACTCTGACGACGAGGAAGAGGAAGATGGAACCGCCGACGACGAGGGCGATGAATTCTTCAAGAAGACAAACAACGAGAAGAAAGACCAGGCCGACTTCCGTGCCGTCCCCGAGTACGACTACGACGAGCTGGAGCGCAAGTGGCGGGATGAGGAGTTGCTTGAATCTATCAGATCTCGCTTCGTCACTGGTAAGCTGGGCGGAGGCGGCTCAGATGATGAGGACATGGACGACGACCTCGACGAGGATGACGAAGATGAGGGCGATGGTGACTACGAGGACTTGGAATCTGGCGAAGTCTTTAACGGCATCAAGGATGACGATAACGAAGACGACGAAGATGATGAAGAGAAGGGCGACGATGAGCCCAAGGAGCCAGAGGATCTTGAAGCCGAGCGTGAGCGAAATGCCAAGAAGAAGGAAGAGCTTAAGCTTCGCTTTGAAGAAGAAGATCGGGAAGGATTTGGAAACGCGAAGGACGGGACGCGTGATGGCCTAGAAGGCGAGTTTGGCGAAGACGACTGGTATGATTTGCAGAAGGCGAAGATGCAAAAGCAGACTGATATCAACCGTGCCGAATTCGAGAACCTCGACCCTGCCTCGCGCACACGTGCTGAAGGTTACAAGGCCGGTACATACGCTCGGATCGTCCTCGAGAACGTCCCCTACGAGTTCGTCTCCAAGTTCAACCCTCGCTTCCCTGTCATCGTTGGTGGTCTCTCTCCCACTGAGGATCGCTTCGGCTACGTGCGGATTCGTATCAAGAGACACCGTTGGCACAAGAAGATCCTCAAGAGCAACGACCCGTTGATCTTCTCGCTTGGTTGGCGACGCTTCCAGACCATGCCTATCTACTGTACCACGGACAGTCGGACAAGAAACCGTATGCTCAAGTACACCCCTGAGCATATGCATTGTTTCGCTACCTTCTACGGCCCTCTGGTCGCGCCCAACACTGGTTTCTGTTGCGTGAACTCGTTCTCGAACAAAAACCCCGGTTTCCGTATTGCTGCGACCGGTGTTGTTGAGAGTGTCGATGAGCACACTGAAATTGTCAAGAAGCTCAAGCTCACTGGTCACCCTTACAAGATCTTCAAGAACACCGCTTTCATCAAGGACATGTTCAACTCTTCCCTCGAAATTGCCAAGTTCGAGGGTGCATCCATCAAGACGGTCTCTGGTATTCGCGGTCAGATCAAGCGTGCCCTTGCCAAGCCTGATGGTTGCTTCCGTGCTACCTTCGAGGACAAGATCTTGATGAGTGACATTGTCTTCCTGCGTGCCTGGTACCCCATCAAGCCTCACCGCTACTACAACCCCGTGACCAACCTGCTCGACCAGGTTGAGGGTCAGAAGGGCGACAATGGATGGCAGGGTATGCGTTTGACCGGTGAGGTCCGCCACGCCCAGGGAATTCCCACGCCCCAACTCAAGGACTCTGCCTACCGCCCCGTCGAGCGTCAAGCCCGTCACTTCAACCCCCTCCGCGTGCCCAAGCAGCTGGCCGCCGAGCTCCCCTTCAAGTCTCAGATCACCAAGATGAAGCCCCGTAAGGACCAGACATACATGCAGAAGCGAGCCGTTGTCCTGGGAGGCGAGGAGAAGAAGGCCCGCGATCTCATGCAGAAGCTCACCACCATGCGCAACGAGAAGCAAGCCAAGCGTTCTGCCAAGCAGGAAGAGCGCCGCAAGGTCTACCGTGCTAAGGTAGCTGAAGGCCTGGAGAAGAAGGCTGAGCGTGAGAAGAGAGAGCGCAATGATTACTGGCGCAAGGAGGGCAAGAAGCGAAAGAACACCGATGAAGAGGGTGGTGGTGGCCGCGGCAAGAAGCGTAAGTGATCTATTCGTTTTGGGCATGATTGTTCTACATGGGTCTTTCTTTGCATAAATGGCGTTTGGACCCAAAATTACCTATGTACCTACATACACTGAATGTTATCATAACTACTCCTGCATCTGCCTCTACACCCTCGGTTCTCTCCCCGGCTTTACTCTGCCCCTCTTTTTCCCGAATTTATATCTGGTCACATAGTAAACACGGTTTCAATAGCGCACTACAAAGTGAAAGCATCAAGCACCCCGGGTTCGAATTGTACCCCTGCCCCCTAGCAGGGGAAGATCAGCGCCCCTTCCATGGATACCACACCTCCCAGCCCTAACTCGGCCAATATCAAACATCTATACAATCTCACTTTTTCCTCACTCTTTCCTCATAGCAGACTTAGTTTTGACTCACGTAGACCTATATTAACTTGACTCGTTGTCCTCGTTCAGCTTTCCTATTCTCCATCCTACACATCTTTCATCAACTTCCGTCTCATTTTTCATCAAGTTTCATCAAACCTTCTTATATACACACACTTAGCAATCAACCAATCATCTCATCAACATGGCTCCCATCGACCTGTCTGTCCGCTCTCATCCGGACTATTACGACAATCCAGAGAAGGAGGAATTCCTAGGCTGGTACATTTTCGGTTGGGTTATGGTTGGCCTTGCTGCTATCATTCTGGCATTCATGTATGTACCTTTCCTATCTACCCAGGCATGTAAAGAGAATTAAGATACTAACTAGCTTCCAGATGGGCTAAGTGCAAGGACAAGCTTATGCCCAAGCTCCAACAGTGCAAGGAGGATTTGGGGGAAAAGATGACGTGGAAATCATCGGAGGCCTCCGAGGTCATTGGTAAGACTCATACCCCATCGTCATTTTTTGGAGTGTTTCTTGTGTTGACTCTGTCTTCAGCGAAGCCGAAGTCGGCTCATGTGGCTAATCACCACACCCAGGAGGTCGCTGGGGTCGATCGCATCACCGCTGATTTGACCCCGGAGTATCTCAAGAAGACCACTGCCGTTATGGGGTGTCTCTAGGGGATAGTTGGGTAGATGGTGGGTGGGGTGAGGACAGTCTGTGTATGGACTGGGCCCGGGGACTTTTATACTCTTTTCTTTTGTCTTTTTTTTTCCCCCTGTTGTCGGTTCTTGGTTTCTATATGCTCACTTGTTTTCTCTTCACAGTGACTTTCATTTATTTTTCTGGCATTTGTTTCTGAGTTTCTCGAATTTGAACGCATGTTGCATTAGTTTCCGTCGTCATTTTCCTCATCGGAGTTGAGTCATTGCTTCCAAGTTTATTTCCATGACTAACAAACATATGTCGTTTCTGTTTGCAAGCTCAAAATGTATTCTTTTTCTCCTTTGTAGACTTGTAGCTATAGTAGATGTGGATACTGTCGATGTATAGACAACCGTGAATATCTCCGTAGCCTAAACCCCTCACACCCATTCCCAATTGCAAATGTCTATTAGCTCTCTAAAGATACAGTTGAAGCCTCTTTCCTGTACTTCCTCGTCACCAAATGCACTCAATGTAGTCTAGTCGCATCGACAAGCCACCACGTGACCGCGCCTCGCACGCGTCGCCGCAGATGGAAAGCCGCCGTCCCTCAACCACCCCAGTTTATTCGCTAGCAGGCTGTGGCGCTTCTTTAATTGTTCTCTCAAAGCCCTTGTCACCTCCAATCCCTTCGACCCTGGCTATTCATCCGGGGTGGAGACCTGTTTTGTGCTGTCGCAACCTTGCGCGTGCTAGTCGGTCGCCACTCGATCGGGCAGATGCTCCTGGTTCCGGCGTCCACCACCCGCGCGTGTTGAGATCCCGACTGTCCCTTAGTGCATCCCGGTCTCTTCACGTTCCCAGTCTCGATGCGGTGACTAGACAGGTGTTGAGAGCGGCCGCGTAAACTCGCGATTAAGCTAGGTCGCGTGCATTTATCAGCGCTATCCCATATCCATCTTTTAATTCCTCTCACTCTTGACAATGGACGGTCGCGACGCTTCGAGTCGCGGAGCGCATGCGGAGAACCGTGCGAACGCCCCCGTGAATCACGCGACACCTACAGTCCCTGTCGAGACTCAGAGAGCGCCATTGTCACTACGTGTAGATGGTTTGAGCGCCGTTGCTGTCGCTTCTGGCGAGGGCGACTCGACCCCAACCTATATCGAATCGGAGCGCGGTAGTGTTACTTCGGATGGTCGACGACCTGACCTTTACTCCGCTAGTACCGTCACAGACTCCCTGTCCAGTCTTCCTTCGTCCAATGATACCAGCCGATTTTCAGAACTTGGCAACTCGTATACGTCGAATGAACATGGGTCAGTACCACAAAACGATCAAAAGTCTTTACAATCGGCAATGGCGCCGCAGACACAGCCGGTGAATGGGAATGTCGCAGAACGGTGGCAGCCCTCACTACCAACAATAAAGGCTGGCAATGGGTCACCTCCATGCTTGCCAAAGCATTCGCGCACAAAGTCGAACTTTGATGGGCTGGCTCCAGGGCAGAAAAGAACAGCAACTGGGGATATCAAGCCCGTTTCATTAGATCCCCCCGCGACCCACAGTGATGCGAATGGAGCTACGCGGCGACGTTCAAAAAGCACTGGCTCGTCGGTTTACGGAAGTAGGATTGCGCAGGTATTTGATTCTCTCAATCCCCTCCAAAGACCTATAGCTCATTTATAATACCCAGCTATCGGTTCACATCCGTACGCGTCTATCATACGCGGCGGCAAAAGTGGAGAAAGAGAAAGAGAAAGCCCGACTATCACTTGAAGCTGGCCCTCACCCCACACTCCGCACATATCACAGCGCATCTCCATTGAGCACCGCACCAAGTGACGTTGCATCAGCACCAGAAATAGACCCGCCATTTCTTTCACACCAAAGCTCCAGCTCCTCCAACGGAAACTCCAATTGTTTCCCGAGTCATAACCGCTCACGATCAGCATTCTCATCTCCTAACCTCCTATCAATTCCTAAACTAGCACCTCCTGTTGATATCATCTCATCTAATGGCGACAACCGACGCCGTCGACCAAACCCTAATGCTATCTCAAACCCTCTTAATCACAGCCCCGTCCGCCGTCACCGACGGCACCATTCACACCAGGAGCACGGACTAAACCGTCCAGTCCTAGGTTCTGAAACTCCCTCCCTCTCATCAACCACACATGCACCAACTTCCACCCCGAACGGGTTCTATCGACCCCGCACCAATTCCCAAAACACATCAATGGAACAAGACGCCATTGAAACCCTCATGTTCATGTCCAGTCCCGAGAACTCAGGATACCGCTTCAGTCCTCGGCCACTACAAGCCGCAAGCACACAAAGCAGTCTAAACGAATCAATCAACACCAGCAATGGCACCACTCACAATGGAAGCCAAGGCTCGCAAAGCTCCGGCTCCTACAGTGGCCGTGGATACGAAACGAAATCGGGACTGGAAGCCCATGCCGGCGATGACATTGATCGCCTTTTGGATCAGATGGATAGTGATAGCGAGGATGAGGGGCGGTATGCGTCTTACCGTCCAGCTATTAGTGGCGCACATCCTTTCAGAGGACATTATGGACGCCAGAGATAATTGCATTTATTGACTTCTCTGTTTGGCGGTTGCATGTAATGGTCAGTTGGAACCAGTTTGCATTCATTTTGGGCTTTTTGCATAGTGCATTGTCATGCTGTCATCATGAGCGGCGGGCTTTTGGATAGGACTAGCTTGCCGGATTGGCTGTATTGGAAATTTGAACTGGGCTGTCTGTTGGCCTAGTGTAAATCATAATATGCATTCAATTGGTTCTATATGCTTTTATGTGACTGTACCTCATAGGGTACTCTATATATTAATGTAAGTCTATGCTTTTCTTGTACACTGGTATCGGCACTTCAATACGTAGGCAATCAATGCGCAAGTTCCTGTGGTTTGGTTAGTCCCGAGCATATAGTACTGGAGGGGAGTTGATCACTTACGCTTGCCAACTTGCTCTTGGCTCGAATTTGAGGTCCGTAAAAGGCCAGAACCCATGGAACTAGAGTAAGAACAGCGCCCTATCCATAAACGTCAGTTATATGTTCTTCAAATAATAATCAAAACAGCTTACCAGTGCTCCCAGCAAACTGGATGCCTCCGGATATCCAAGATTGTTGAACATGGCATTCGTAACCAAGGGGAAGACACCACCAAGCAAGTTACGACCTGCAACCAGAAAAAAGTCAGTCAGTAAAGTATATCACCAAAACCAAACCAAAGCCCAAAACTTACAGCAAGACTGCGCAGCGATCGCTGAACTGGCATACCGATGATAAGTATCAGCCAGATAGTTGAAAGTCGCCAAATAAATCGAGAAAATGCCCATGGTAGCACATCCAACCGCCAAAGCCGGCACAATCCACGGCACAGACGGGAATGAAGTCCAACCAAACCAGAACAACCCAATAGGTAGTAAAATGGACTCGACGCAGACGAAATACAGTCGACCCTCTGCGGCGGTGGAGTGCAGACCGAAATGCTTGGCGACTCGCTCTTGGTAGATACTGATGATAGTGATGATGATAACGCCGACGCACATTGATGTGAAGACGGCGCCTGTTTGCTCGGTTGTGAAGTTGTGGTTTGTGCGGAAGATTAGGGGTACCGAGCTGAATTGGAGGTAGAGGACTGCCCAGCTGAAGGAGACCCAGAGGGAGAAGAAGAAGACGACTGGTTCGGTTAGGAGCATGTCTGGGGATTTGTTAGTGGGTGGTGATGAGGTTGGGATTGGGGTTGGGGTTAGGGTTTGACGTACGGAATGGTCGATACAGAGAGATCTGGACCATGCTTAGGATTGAAGCTCGTTGCTCGTCGCTCTTGACCTTCCATCTGATTCGTCGAATGCATTTCTCATCGGGGAATTCCTCGTTTGGGAGGATGACGCCGTAGTGGCCTGCTTCTTCGAGTTTTTCGTAGTACTTGTTCAAGGTCTTGGCTTTTCGGCTTAGCAGGACGCTGCCGCGGGTTTCTTTGAAGAAGAAGTAGATGAGCACGACGAAAGCTGCCGATACGATTGCGTGCGAGAAGTAGACCCAGCGCCAGGTGGTGTGGCTGACGATCACGCTGGAGATTAGTGGTGCTAGACCTGTGCCGAAGAGGGCTGATGCTGAGAAGAGAGCCATTGCTGTGTTACGGTCGTGGGCATGGTAGATGTCGCTGATGACGCCGCCGACCATTGTTGAGAAGGTTGCTGTAGAGTTTTTATTAGTATTTGAGGTTTTGACTTTGGTCGAGTATATACTCACAGCCACCCACGCCCTGGAAGAATCGAGCAACGCACAATCCGGCGAAGGAAGTTGTTCCTCCGCAGCCGCAGAGAGAGGCTATCATAGATTTTGTCAGTATATATCGAGAATATCAACGTGGATTTTGTTTCCATCACAAGACCTACCGACAAAGACAATACCACTTGCGATGAAGATCGGCCGCCGACCATTTAGCTCACTAAATGGGGCAAGTAGCATAGGCGCCAGAGCAAAGCCAATGCAGAAGATAGTAATGCTGAGGTTATACACAACAGCACTAATCCCCCATTCCACAGTCAACTCTTCCGAAGCAGGACTGACCTCACCAGCAGCATAACCAGCCAGCGCAGTAACCGCGCATGCAATGTAAGTCATCATGGACTTGCGCCATGTTGGCCATAAAAACGGCGAGATGTATTTCTCCAAGCTGGGCGCCTCAGGTGCTGGCGACTGGTTTGGACCAGGAGGCAAACTGATACACGGCGTTGGCAGGGCTGTTTCCAGTTCTAGGTATCGGAATTCGATATCTTGTGACTCAGTTTGGGACTCCGGGGACCCCTCGCGCTTCTCCATGACTGTCGACTCTTTGAGGGAGCCAGATGTCTCTGAAGCCATCGGGGTGAATTTGAGGCTGCTTGTTTGAGTTGACTCATGGATTTGGGGGACGCTGACAATTTTATAAGAGACTAAACCTGGAGGACGTGGGTCTTGAAAACAAATTGGAGAAATTGGGGATGAAGAGCCGAAATGGTCTGGGTTCCCCGATCTGATATCGAATATGCGCTATACCAATTTTATTTGGCGATCGTGTATCAAATTGTATGAAGACTTCAAGGGTTTCCCAGTTACGCAGCACACAGAATACCATACATTGGAATGATACACAACGACAAATTCTCTCTCGGTCTTCTGAGCGAGCGACGTACACAGACCGGCTATACTTCCGGAGGCAAATGCTGAGTCATCAGATCCCCGAATTGGAGAATTGAAGAACCCCGATCTACTTGCCGAGTGCAGAGTGAACACCTCGGGATGCAGCGAATGATTAATAATTGATATGCAAGGATCTTTCTAGAGTAAAATAAACCAATACTCTGTCTACATGTATGTTCCAGGTAAGGTAAATAATAATGGTGCAACATGTAGAAGCTTAACTATGTGTAGTGTACAGCATGGAAGCCAAGGATATTCCGGAGTAAGGACCTCTATTCCCCGACCACATACTCCGTATTGTCACTGGAACTCCGGCATTCCCCAATGTTGAGTAACAAGCCCTACCAATGCCAGCGATGCCCGAGAGCATTTGCTCGTCTCGAGCATCTCCAACGTCATGATCGCTCACGTAAGTCTCTGTGCTCGAACGGGAGACCGGCATCTGATACCCCACAGACACCAAAGAGAAGCCATTCACCTGTGCCCAGTGCCCCAAGGCATTTACGCGCAAGTATGATACATCCATAATGTTCTAAGTACCCCCCATTGACAATGTTTCAGAGACTTGCTAGCCCGTCATGAGCGTCTCTCCCACACGGAGGGCACTCCAAGTCGGAGTCAAACAACGCCTTCCCCCGCGCATCCCATCCTGGACGGGTTGGATACCTTGGCATCTGTTGTCACCGACCATGCCCAATCTCGCCGTTCAATAGGATCTAATGACCAATTCTCTGGGCTCTCACCAGCTGTACACCGCACCCCCCTGATGGGTGAGCAGTTAGCCAGCGACACTCCCTCTGCAGGCCCCACCCCCATTGCAGGTCCGGACTTTGGCTATCTTGGTGGCTTTGCCCCTGGTAACTATGAGGGGAACGACTTTACTTCCTTTCTGGATAGTGTACCCCTGCCCAGTCACCCATTCTCGCCGGCTTACCAGCCTCTCCCCTTGTTCCCCCCGCTGCACTTCTCTCCCGTTCCAGATTATGATCAGTCTTCGGATAGAGCAGCACCCTTAACTGAAACTACTCCGTCCACTCCTTCTAGCTCGGTCCTTCCTCGCCATGGTGCTCAATTGCCTTCTCTTCAGCCGGAGGGGTATCAAACTACTCCTAAGGCGCGCCAGCCTACGGGTTTCGTACCTGTTACAGCGCAGTGTCGGGAGAAGTTCATGAATCTGTTATCTGATTATGCAAATGTTGTCCCAGATCCATCTCTTCCATCCCGGCATGCGCTGTCCCGGTGCTTAACTGGGTATCTCACGGGTTTTCATGATCACTATCCAATTGTGCATATCCCAACCCTCAATGTGGAATCGATGACCTTGCCGCTGTTTCTCTCGATGGCAGCATTGGGAGCACGGTACTGTCGCGAGCCAGAAACCAGCATGCGTCTCTACCAGATCGCTAAACCGGTGACCTTGGAGCATGTCCGGCGGGTTTTTCAGTGTGGCAAAATGCCGCCGGTCAATGTGGCCGATGACACCGATACACTGGAAACATTACAGGCACTGTTATATTTGACGTCGGTGTCGGCATGGTTTATCAACAACCCTCCTTACCACGAGGCATTGTCGATTCGCAGTCTAATGGAGATGCTCCTTCGAAATGGAGGACTTAACCGGCTCCCTGAGCACGACGGGACCTGGCACGGATGGATCCGACGGGAATCTGTGAAGCGGATGAGATTAATTGTGTTCTGTTTCTTTAACATTCACACTATCGTCTTTGACGTTCCGCCTGTGATTCTTACTGAGGAAGTCACTATCGAGCTGCCCTGTACCGAACAAGAATGGCAAGCTCCACACGCAGACCTCTGGCATGAAGCGCGCATGAAAAGTCCCGGCGAGCCGAAGTTCCAGAATGCCCTCTCCGCACTTTTTGAACCAAACAGCAACGTGGAGCGATTCTCCTCGCTAGGTGGCTACGTACTAATTCACGCCATCCTGCAAGACATCTGGCTCATGACCAAAGCGGGTCGCCTGCCCGTCTCGAGACGAAATCGCTTCAATCCTTCTTGCATCTCATCGACACCCGAACTTGTCTCTGTTGAGCAAGCCCTGGAACGCTGGTGCCAATGTTGGGAGCGCAATCAAGAGTCCTCGATCGATCCACTCAGTCCTCACGGCCCATTGTCCTTCACTTCCGCAGCCCTCCTCCGACTAGCATACATTCGCCTCAATGCTGACTGCGGCTCAGCCCGCCAACTTCAAACCTGGGACCCGGTCCAAATCGCCACTAGTCTCCGCGAAAACCTCTCCGTCCGCCGTGGCGACCGTCTCACGCGCGCGGCACTACACTGCGCCCATGCCCTCAGCACACCCGTCAAGCTAGGCATCGGCTTCGTGGCCCACTCGCAGGTTGCACTATGGTCGAACCAACATGCATTATGCTCCCTTGAGTGTGCCGTCCTTCTTGCCAAGTGGCTTGAAGCGGTGACAGTGCCGCATCCAGACCCAGCATTAACAGAGCAAGAAGCCAGGCTGAGGGATTTCGTGCTGGAGATGGTGATGGAAGTGCAGCATGGCGTATCACGGGAATGGCTGCTCGCTACAAATACACGGCTCAGTGCGGCTGTTACCCGCTTATGGGCGCGGCTGTTTACGGCGGATTATATCTGGGAGATGGTTGCTTTGATTGGGAGGTCTTTGAATAGTTATGCGGATTTGTTGGAGCAGTAGATGAGATGAATGATACACACAAATTCTAAAAAACTGTAACCCGATGGACTCGAAAATGGGTGAAAAAAAGGTGAAAAAAAGAGATGAAAAAAGAGAAGCCAAAAGAGGGCGAAAACAATGCACGAAGCAATAACGTTACTTCATTAGTGGAACTGTATGCATATTTACGACCTCTGTTATAGCGCGCGCTTCTTACTTTATCCGGAGTAAGACATTTCGACTGGGTAACTTCACCTAATCAGCGCTGATTGCCGTAGACAGTCTGCTTCACTCCGGCAGACTTGCTAGGCTGCTCAATCAGGCCTTACTTGGCCGATCATCTCTCAATCACATCCTGCTGTGGGGCCACTTGGCGTTTCTCCAATTCCAGCTTCATCTTTCGAGTCTGACAACATCATACTTCCCCACTTACAGGGCGTATGCAGATGACTCAGAAACCCGGACATAAGTCTACCTCGGATGTAGCTCTCACATTGGATCTTCGCCATCTCCGCGGATACGAGACAATATATAATAGCCCTAACTCCAACGTTTCGCAAATTCATACTTCCAACCTGACTGACACTTACCAAACCTAACAACATTAACAACCACCCAACATGGCACCCACCGCCCTGAACACAACTCCCAAAATCCATGCCCTCCTCAAAGAACTGCATAATAAATCCCTGACTCAAGAATCAACCCTGAACTGGCCAACCCTCCCAGCACGATGCACAACCGAATTTGACAATATCATGCGCGACAAATTCATCGCGCTGGATCAAGACAAGTGCGAACTGGTGTACCATGTCCTGCGCAGCATCAACGCCACAAACGTCGTTGAAGCCGGTACCAGTTTCGGTGTTAGCACTATCTACCTCGCACTTGCTGTTGCTGAGAATGCCAAGCGTGCTGGTGGTCAGGGAAAGGGTGTGCCTAGGGTGATTGCTACCGAGAAGGAGGAGACCAAGGCTACCTTCGCACGGGGCCATTGGGCTGCTGCTGGTAAAGAAGTTGATGAAGTTATTGAGCTTAGAGTCGGGGATTTGAGAGAGACTCTCACTAAGGAGCTTGGGGTTGTAGATTTCTTGTTACTTGATAGTATGTTCTTCCTTCCCTTCCTTCCTACTATGCCTTGTAGGGATGTCTTGCTGGATATTGGACTGCGTGCTACATATCATATCAATATCCGCTGTCGTATATTTATACTAATATCATATCTCTCAGTCTGGACGCCCCTCGCCCTGCCCGCGCTGAAGTTGTGCCAGCCGTATTTCCGTCCCGGCGCGGTGATCATTGCTGATAACACTGCTATGCTGGGTGATCAGTATCAGGAGCTATTTGATTATGTGGATGCTGAGCGGAGTGGGTTCCGCCGGGTGACAATGCCCTATAGTGGCGGTATTGATATGATTGTTTATCAGTAGATATAGCTTATAGTATGATCCTTATTACAATACTCTTTTTAACCCTCTTCTTGACCTTCTTCATATTCAGCTAGTCCTTAATCTAAGGCCAATCTCATCCCTATTCAACTTTAGCTGATCCTCAATGTAAGGCTTATTGTGATCTTTTCAACAATCAGTATGATCCCTACTATAATCCTTGTTACAATCCTCCTTACAATCAGTTTTCGATCAGAACTCTGTTGCTATCTCGAAGCAAGCAGCTAAGTACGCGGCCAAATTGTCCCCAAGTGGGCTCTGGTGAACTGGAAAGTTGACAAGCAAGTGGCGGAACTTCTCAAACCCGACTGCAAAATCAATTGTCACCTGGTGTGAACTAATTGCTGATCAAGGAGCTAAACGTCAGGATAAGTCGCGTAAAAGGACATATATCAACGGAGTATCTTCCCGTCCGATCTGATATGCATTTGCACGTGCCTTACTTCCTTCTCCCATCTTTCCCTCCATCTTTCTTTTCCCATCCTCCTTCCTCTTTACAGCATACCCGCCATGTACGATCTTCTCCGTTATGCACTCCGCGACGTATAGCCTCGGCCAGAAATTCACTGTTCGCTCGCATATTCCTCCACCACCCACGCCGGTGTCTTACAAGAGTTGCACCAATGAAACACCCGAGCGGGAGGAACAAAACCGTCGTGGCGCGCTTCAAACATGCCTGAACTTTCCTCCGCTGCCAGGTACTGATGGTTCATTTGATGTTGAGCTAGAGATTGTTGGGCTGCTGCGAGTGAAGGATAACTGCAACGCGCAATTACTCGTTGTTCTAGTCTGCAGAGCTACACCAGAATCTCCTAAACTCCTCCCCGGTAAACGCCTTACCGCTAAAGTGTTTGATCCTCTCTTTGTCAAGACGGAAAGAGGGGAAGTCAATCCAATTCGGCTTACGGACAAGCACTATACCCACGAAGTTGCCGCATATCAGAAACTATGCAACCTCCAAGGGACTAAAATCCCGAGCTCTTACGGATCTTTCACTTGGGAGATTCCTGTACGGGAGCAGGGACACGTATCTCGCACAGTCCGCCTTATTCTGCTGCAGTTTCTACCCGGGATCTCAATGGCAGAAGCCAACGCAAAACGATTCTCGATACAAACTCAGCAGAATATTATCAAGAAGATCATCGGCTTCGAAACTGACATCTACACACGGGGCATTGACCTTGCAGACCTGAGTCCCCGCAACGTCATGATGATGGACTCGACGAATCCGACAACGCTTCGTTTCCTGGATTTTGGGGACGCCCTCTTCTTTGACAGGGATAAGGAAAACATATCACCCCTGTCGAGGTGGGCTGGCGGCGATCTGGTAGTACCGTTAGGGTATGGCTGGATCAATGACTGGGAATGCGAGTATGAGTCTTGGTTTGAGTCCCAATTGGCCGTGACAACTACACCGGAGTCGCAAAAGATTCACCAGCAACATCAGCATTTGAGTCCACGGAAAGAGCTACAAGGTACCTCAAAGCGTTCATACTGTGAATCAGACTCAATACCGACACAGTTGCCTCTGAGATAGGCGAGGCAATGACATTCATTGCTGTGAATCGTCACTCAAAACTTTCTCTATCGCCCGACTTCCAACAATATTGCAAGTACCTACTGTGCCACGTTCCCTCAACTTACACTGCATTCTCCACGTCGACATTTCCAAGCTTCCTCGTGCAGGGACGCATTCGATTTACCGTGGTATTGAGGATAGGATTTAGAATTGAATGGAGTGGCTAAAGCTTTACTGGAACACTTTCTTTCCTCCGCATATTTCAATTGTTATCAATTTTCTCTATTGGTAACGTTACATCGGTTTATAGACAAGGTATACTAGTCTGTAGAGTGTAGTAGAACATGTCCATCTACAACCCTCCACTTCATAGTCCCACATATGAACCCCTCACTACAATCCCCCAACATCAACAATCAACCCAACTGCACACAACATCTTCTCTTCCATCAAATCCACCAAAACAAAATAAAAATGCCATCAAACGCCCTTGCCCCAATCCCACCCCAAAAAGAAGGCCATTTCAACACTTCCCCAAACATAAACCCACCCCCTCCACCACAACAAGCGCCTACAAACTAAATCACCTCGCAATCCGCATAACAAACCCTACAGCCTCCTTAAACTTCTACATCAACCTCCTAGGAATGCGCATAATCTTCACAATGAATGCGGGCCCCTTCACAATCTACTACCTAGGCCATCCACCACCTGATCTGAAAACCGGCGAGGAACTGGATAGCTGGGCGAAGAGGACAGCCGAGATTCCGAATATGACCGCCACGGCTGGGTTATTGGAGTTGTATCATGTCCATGGGAGTGAGGGTGGTGAGGGGGGTGGGGATAGCAATGGTATATCGACTGGGAATGTACCTCCACACCTTGGTTTTGCGCATTTGGGCTTTACGGTGCCTGATATTCCTGCTGCCGTGGCGAGGTTGAGAGAGGCTGGTGTGACGATCTTGAAGGATGTGGGTGTTTCTTCTAGAGAGACGGTGCCGCTTTCGGAGTGGGAGGAGAGGAGGGGGTTGGGTGTGGTGCGATTCATGAGAATTATGCGTGGTTCTTTGAAAAGTTTGCTATGGTTGCTGATCCGGTGAGTTGAATACTTTGGATACTATGGCTGGTTATTGGGTACTGGTTATTGACGTGCATAGGATGGGTATACGGTTGAGTTGATTCCTCAAAGTATTTGATATCTCATGCTGTGATTGAGTATCTATGCATTTTATAGTTTACAATCGTTGCATATCACTTTATTAAGAGTCCGGAATACCTCGTATTCATGCGAAGAAGCTAAACGCAGCCTATACACACGCGTGATAGTACATGGGAGACGCAAGGTATGAATGAGCAAGATGTGAAATCCGCAATGAACAGTAATCATTCAATCCTTTTTACTCTGCACCCCAACTATCATCCTCGGCAACATCGTAATCCATATCCCGTGGCGGCGCAGCGTTAACTGGTGGCGCCGAAGACATCGGCGTGTCTTCGGGTTCGTTGTGGTCAAACCCACCTGGACCCTTGGACTCTGCTGATCCGGCGGGAGGGAAAGTGATGGGCGGGTTGGGCATCCAGGTTAGCTGGACGTCGCCGACGGATGGGATGTTCCAGGGGGAGAACATGAGTTTTTCGGCTTGGAAGCGTTCTTTGAAGGCCACCACGACCGAGTTGGGTTGGTCTGGGTTTCTTTCGATAGATTCGTATTCGCCGATGCCCTGGGTTACGTTAGTATATCTATACTGTTTGAGGGGGGTGATAGTTGGGGATAGTGTATGCTTATATAACTTACCATCAGGTGCTGACGAAGTGCCTCGTCCTTGTCAGAGTTGAGCTCAACGCCTGACACAGCAACACGGCGAGGTCGGTTATCCAACCGGAGGACACCTCCTCGTCCGCGAGCTCCGAATCCACCTCGTCCACGGTATCCCCCACGGAACGAGGGATCATACCCACCGCGTCCGCGGGATGCGCCTCGACCGCGGTATCCTCCACGACCGCGATAGCCACCGCGGCCTGCGCTTGCAGGGTCAGCCTCAGGGTCGAGACCCAGACTCTTGGCCTCCGCCTCGAGGGCGGCCAATTGGGCGCGCAACTGCTTCGTCTCGTCGCTCACGTTCTCGTCAGCAGGCTCGCTGCTTGTGTCCATGGCGTTGCCACCGTTGCTTGTGTCTGCGGACCCTCCAAGACGCTGCATGAGACGCGCCCGCTCGTCTTGTTGTTTCTTGAGGAGCTCATCGCGTTGCCGCTCGAGGGCTTGCTTAGCTGCCTCGGTTTCATGTCGTTTCTTCATTTTCTCCTCGTGGGCCCGTTGGGCTTCTTCTTGTTGCTTTTCGAATTCTTCTGGGTTGAAAGCTGGTGCTTCGGGCTGTGCGTGGTTGTTCTCTTCCCGGCTTGGTTTATACCAGTAAACCTTCACGAAACGGTTGTCGAAAATGACCTTGGGACTCGACCACGCGGCCTTGGCTTCGGGGAAGGTATCATACTTGACCAAAGCGAGCTTTTTGTAGGGCTGCAATGAGACCTCCACGATGTTGCCGAATTCAGAAAAGAACTCGCGCACAGATTCTTCGTTGAACTTCTCCTCGGGGATCTGTTCTACCACAATCGTCGTAACCGACTGGTCCTCATTAGGTCCTGCCGACGAGAAATCGGACCGGCCGCGTCCTCGTCCACCATATCCACCACGGCCACGGCCACGACCGCGGTCACCACGGGCATGACCACCGCCTCGCCCGTTGTAACCGGCGGTCTTAGGGTCATATTCTGCAGCCATTAGCGTACGCACATCGAGCATGTACGGGTTCCTCTTACCACCATCCTTCGCACCGCTCTCGCCGTGCTGGTAGAAGCAGTTGTTCCCAAGGTAACAAATACCCTGTGTCTCATACATCGGACAGCGCTCGTTACTCTTGGGCATCTGCTCACCACCAGGCTGCCCAGGTGCACCAGGCATACCGGGAATGCCAGGCATTCCCGGCATCTGGGGGAATCCCATTCCCTGCATGGCCATCATTGCAGCCATGGGGTCGTTCTGGTCGAACTGCGGGAATCCTGGCATCCCCGGCATCATGGGGAACCCACCCGGCTGCTGTTGCTGCTGAGGGAACTGTTGTCCAGGCTGCATACCACGGCCCATGAAATCGCCACGACCACCACCGCGCCCCCCACGCCGGGGAGTTTTCATCGCGCGGTTCTGCAGCGAACCGTCATCGCGCTCCGGCTCGCCCTGGAATCCCTCTCCGAACGTCCGTTTCCGGTTGGCGGGGGCATCGTTTCTAGGGCCCGTGGGGACATTGACTGGAACTTGCGATTGGGGTGCGGCATTCGCGTGCTGAGGCTGCATATGAGGTTGCGGTCCAGGAGGGGCAGACGGCTTGGGGCCAAAGGTCGAGAAGAGGTCTTCGACAAAGGTCTTGGTGTCTGGAACGTGTCAGCGATTCAGCGGGGCCAATTGCGATCGAGATGTGGCACGTACGCTCGCGTAGGAAATCTTCCAGATTTTCCACAGAGGTGTTTCTAATCTCATCATCTGGCGCGTCAGATCTGATTAGCGCCAGAACGTAGTCTGCAAGTACATCGGAGTCGGCATCGGAGCTAGAGGACGATATCATGTTTAGTTGGTGCGTTCTGTCTGTCAAGGTCCAATTCGAATTACTCACATATCCTCCAGTTTCTTCACCACCCACTGCTTCACCCCAGCGGCTTCCTCGTCGGTAAACTGCATGGTGAATATGTTTTTCGGATGATCCTGAGATGTGAGTTTCGAATTGCGTGGAGAGAAAGATCCACGCGAACGTAAATGCAAGGATCCAGTCTCAAAGCCGGGTTTCGGGCGATATCTTTGTGCGCAGGATTATCCTAGGCGGGTATGAATTGGACAATGCACGGCTTAAAACAGGGGTTCGACAAAATAGGTATCGAGTTCGTCAGTAGTTACCCCAAGCCATAAGGGAGGTTGTGATGTGAAGACATCGCGGCGCAAAGCGGACTTGGAAAACGCGCGCGAATAATGTCACGTGATTCGTATCATACCCCAAGCTTGAGGTTCTGCCAACCCACACTCCGGTGCAGTTGGACATTTACTGGTCTACTTTGTGAATCTCCCTACACTAATTCAAATATTACGACAAAACCGTGTCTAGCATACCAATTTATTTTCATAGCGAAACTGGCAGCTAGACTCAGCAAAGAAACAAAAGCAAAATATAGTCCTGAAGCAAATAAAGCAAAGACGCAAAAGCTAAGCACCGGAGAGTCGCCAACTCAAGGCCAGCCTTCTAGACACAACGGTCGAAGCGAGTAACGAAGAACGATGGGGTAAAATTTTGTTGAACTGGAGAAATTGTATTGAATTCATCATTCTCATAAAAGTTTCCACGAATGACTGGCAGAGACGCAATTCTGGTTGTCCGTGACCATTTTTACAGCTTGTCGTAGTACTGAAGAAAGTTAGCAACTGTAAGACAGACCAATGAGAAAAATAGAAACTTACGTTTTCGTAGCCGGGGACGACCTCCTTGAGACCCTTGCGCTTGCGCATCTCGGTGACGATCTGACCGGGCTTGGTGGTGGGGTCCAGAGGAGAACCGCCAGACAGGATAGCCCAGTGGTCGAAGACGGACTGGGGGAAGGCCTGACCACCGGTGGCGGAGCGCAGATCGGCGGAGAAACCGAAGGACTCGTTGACGGGCAGGTAAGCGCGGACGTTGAACAGAGGAGTACCGGGGCGCTGCTCCTCGGTGTAGACGTGACCACGACGGCGGGTGAGGACACCGTAGATACCACCCATAGCCTGCTCGGGAACCTGGATCTCGACGTTGAAGATGGGCTCGAGGAGACTGGGGTCAGCCAGCATGGTAGCGGCGTACAGGACACGACGAGCGGTGGGGATGATCTGACCACCACCACGGTGAATGGCATCAGCGTGGAGGGTAACATCAAGGACGTTGAAGCGGACGGAACGCATGGGCTCCTCAGCAACGGGACCCTCGCGGGTGGCCCACTGGAATCCGGAGATGACGGAGTCCTTGATTTCGTTCAGGTACTGAACAGCCTTGGTCTGGTCAACCAGCAAGTTGGCACCGTTGGTGTCGGGACCGAAGCACCAAATCTTACGGGCATCGGTGACATCCCAGCCGTACTCGTCAGCAAGGACACGGGCACGAGCCTTGAAGTCGTCACGGGGGTGATCTTGCCGGACTCGATGGCCTTGGCGACCTCCTCGTCAAGGGGCTGAGCGGTGAGGTACAGACGGTTGTGCTTGTTGGGCGACTTGGACAGGGCAGTCATGCTGGACTCAGCGGTGACGGTCTCACGGTAAGGAACGACGGGGTCGGAAATACGGAGAGGAACACCGGCGTGGTCCTCCTCGAGATCCTTGAGACAAATCTCGAGGTGCAGCTCACCGGCACCGGCAACGACGTGCTCACCGGACTCGGAGATGAAAGTCAGGACACAGGGGTCAGACTTGGAAAGACGCTTGAGACCCTCAACCAGCTTGGGCAGATCCTGGGCGTTCTTGACCTCAACGGAGCGCTGCACAACGGGGGAGACGGAGAACTTCATAACCTTCAGGTTGTGGGCGGTCTCGTCGGTGGTCAGAGTACCGGACTTGAGCAGGAACTGGTCGACACCGACCAGACCGACAATGTTACCGGCGGGGACGTCCTCAATGGGCTCAACAAAGCGACCCATCATGAGAATGGTACGCTGGATGGCCTTGATGAAGAGATCCTCCTTCTTTCCGGGGACGTAGTTGGGACCCTGGATACGGACCTTGATACCGGACTTGACGGTACCGGCGTAGACACGACCGAAGGCGTAGAAACGACCCTTATCGGAAGTGGGAACCATCTTGGAGACGTAAAGCATCAGAGGGGCAGTGGGGTCACAGTCGCGGATACCAATGCAGGCACGGTCGTCCTGGGGACCCTCGTACAGAGTCTCGGCACGGTACTTCTGGGCAGTGACGGGAGAGGGCAGGTGGATACAGATCATCTCCAGAAGGGCATCAGCGGCAGGCAGGAACTTGCGCATGATGAGCTTGAGGAGGGCCTTGCCCTCGAGATCCTTCTCGTCGTTGGCGAGAGTAACCTCGAGCTTCTCGAGGAGGGTGAAGATCTCATCACGCTTGTTGTGGTTGACAGCGGCGAAGATCTTGAAGATGGGGTCCAGAATGAACTGGTTGAAGGCACGCTCGAGCGGCTTGCCCTCGTGCTCACCCTTGGTGGTCCACTTCTTGGTCTTGGGGTTGAAGTAGTTGTCGCCCCACAGACGCTCGAGCATCTTCTTGCGGTCAACACCGAACTTCTTGGCGTACTTGACAGCGAACTGGCGGACGGTGAAAGCCCAGCCGTGGAGACCGGAACCGAAAGCGATGGTACCCTTCTCGGCGTAGACCTGGACGTCACCGAGAGCCTTCTCGAAGTAGGTGGAGATGATGACGTTGACGGACTCGATGGTACGGGAGAAGGACTGGTAGAGATCCTCCTTGGAGACCTGGAGCTCGAGAAGAGCACGGTCAACCTTGTTGATGACCAGAACGGGCTTGATACGCTCGGTCAGGGCCTGACGGAGGACAGTCTCGGTCTGGACACAGACACCGGAGACACAGTCGACGACGACCAGGGCACCGTCAGTGACACGGAGAGCGGCAGTGACCTCAGACGAGAAATCAACGTGACCGGGGGAATCGATCAAGTTGATCAGGAACTCGTTACCATCAACAGCCTGGGGAATCTCCTTGAGATCCTCCTCATCGGCGAACTTGGCGTAGAGGGAGATGGCGGTGGACTTGATGGTAATGCAACGGTCCTGCTCGTCGGGACGGGTGTCCATGAAACGGGCCTCACCAGCCTTGGCAGCGGAGATAATACCGGCACGCTGGACCAGGGAGTCGGAGAGGGTGGACTTTCCGTGATCGACTACGCACAGAAATGTCAGCATCAATCAAATTTTGAGATGATCGACAGAAGCTTACCGTGAGCAATGACGGACATGTTCCGGATGTTAGCCCGGCGGTCCATCAGAGACCGGATCTGTTGCCATGTTAGTCTTCTGAAGGCTGGGGAAAATTGAAGTACCACCCCAGATGGCGAGATTAGATGTCTGGGGGGCCATCTCAATCTGCCATCCATAGATGATGATATTTAAGCACGAACCTCTTCGATAGTGAAGCTGTGAGACAGAAAATGTTAGCAACATACTCTTGAAAGCTGTGTTGAGGATCCGAGGATCTCGATATGAACTTACTTAACCATGATGGCGGTTGATCTTCAAAAAAAAACTTGAACAAGTAGAAAAGAAGAAGAGCACACAGATGACCAGGACCGAGAGCTCTCGATCAGATCAAAAAGTTCTATGTGCAACTGCTCCTTGGGAGAGGGATGGAGAGGGGAAAGAGAAGAGGAGGGGGAGGAAAAGTGGGAGAGAAAAAAAGAAAGCGAAAGTGGGGACTTTTTGCCGGTTTTGTGCGTTTTGGTCACTGACTTTTATCTCTCATTATATGATTGACTGCAACACGACTAGCTCTGTGCATCTGACTAGCTCTCTATATTCTATTTGACATCGCTCTTGATTTCAAATCCTATTTTGTGTGATGCTTATGACCTTGACTCACTGTATGTTGCCTTCCGTGGTACTCCGGCAACGCATATTATCAATACAAGCTCTACTATTGTGACTTGGTAGCTATAAATACGAAGTACCGAGGATCCATGGCTCTCTCGATACTCAATTCACCAATGATTCACAACATGCCACCTGCACAAACCTTCTGACTGACTCGAGCTGATATCCAAAACCCCTCCTGGTGGCGGTGGAGGGGTAATTGCTTAGTCATGTCGGGTACTGAAACTGCATTATTAATCAAGTTTTTGCCTGTAAATTCAGACATCAAACAAACAGTAACGTATTTCACATGCGAGCCGCCCACCCAAGCGAGCCGCCCACCCCAAAACACCATAGTAAATGCGATAAATTACAGCTTTACATCTCAACAACCATGGCCTATGAGTATTTTTCTTCTTAACAGAATGTTTTTCAGGTGATATCTAGCCTCTTTATGGAGATTGGAAAACTTTTATGACTTCGTGATTGAGAGATATATATTTATAGCTCATAGCAGTGTAATTTTCGGTAATTTTTGAAATGAGGATAATATGGCTTTTTTATTTCCTTGAAATTGAAGCATAGTGCTAATACATCTTATCAATAACTATCGGTAAGCAATGAAATATAATTAAGACGTGGCTGTTGAGATATAAGTGTAGAATATATCGCATTTACTATGGTGTTTTGGGGTGGGCGGCTCGCTTGGGTGGGCGGCTCGCATGTGAAATACGTTAAGTTACAAACAGGAAATTTATGAACTCAGGCGCATATTTGAATTTAACCTACTATACATGTATAGGATGCAGGTCGTGAGGATCCTCAGTCCTAGGCTTAGAACCCTCCCCCGGCTCCCCCCCCCCCCCCAAAACAAAAACCGCGTTCGGATACCTCGTCACTCCTTGGTAAGGAGTTTTTGTTCAAGGGCGGTTGGTTGACTACCTACCTCTCCGAGCGTACGCACTAGAGTATAACCTGGACGCAATTCCACAAACAAAAGCCGTATGAAATGAAAATCGCCCGATCAACCTGCCCGAATAAGTAAGTATGGACTGGCAAGGCTGAGCCGCTCCGCTGTCTGAGCTTAGCCTTATATCCTGGCACCCTGTTAAACCAAAGCTTTAAGCCTTGGGCCCAAGGCTGTGAATGATGTGAAGTAAAGCGTCGAAGATATATCCCTCTTTCTTTTTATTTTCCTGGACACCATGTCTACGTGCTCTTCGTACTTTGGTTACAGATTTTTAAAATATGCACTACTATTCGACCCAGACAACGATATGTGAGGTAAGTACCTCGCAAACGCACCACTGCTTGACCTTCCCAAGAATCGATATGATCTGTTTCGCTACCTTGCTGGATACACTTATGCATTTACTCCGCCTCTTGGGCCCTAGTAGACGTAACTCCCTAGTGCAAAGAGGTAAACCGTCAAGTCGGGTATTCAAGAAGTCCATTCCTACATTGAATTTGCTTCTCGCACTTGGGGAACAAGACTCGTGAATGAAAACAATTTATGGCAACGCGTTCTCTATTTCTGATAAGGCTCCGAGTTTGGTGGGGTAATATGCTGGGATTCGACTATAAAGGTGGTGGTTTCGTTCTAGCAAGTCTGCTTCATCATTCTAAACAAATCACCACTTCTATTCACCAAGGATTCAGATTTCAACGATCAACCGTCGAATCCACTATGCAGGTTTCCAGCCTTATGTGCGCTCTTGTGGCTGTTGGTGCCAGCCGTAGTCTCGCTATTCCTCTCAATGACAATAGCGCTGCCACTCAATCTTGTCCAAGCGGATACTCATACTGCGGTGTATGTTAAATCCCTGAAAGATGTCTTCATCGTCCCCCGCTCACCACAAAAAAACCCTTTCTTAAACGTATGGTCTATAGGAATGCAACGGTGTCTTCTGCAAGATTGTCGGCTCAAACCTGTAAGTCTCTTCCTCCTTGTTTTGTTGGCGATGTATTTTTGCTAACTGCGTTTTGCAGGGATTGCGATGAAGGAAACGTAAGCACACACGTTCATTCACTAGTTCCACGGAGAAGGGTCATGTACAAATTGCATGAGAACTTAACAACTCTATTAGTGCGCAGGTCCCAATTCAGTGTGTATGTCCCAATGGTGGCGACAGCACCATCTATTGCCCTGCTTAAGGGAGTCTCTTTCAGGTTTCCAAAGCCTGATTCGGCGACAAGATTACCAACTTTCTCGACATATGAGAACATACATTCCTTTGAACGATCCCAATGTGCTTAGCCTCAAGAACATTACGGTGTCTATGTACTTAGATGTAATGAACCGAATTTTCTGTTATCCACTTGGCTTTATACCCTGCAATACATTTGTAATGAGCATCTGCCTCGAAGCTGTTGATTGCCTAGCTAACTTATCTTTCAAACTGCCCAAAACTTGTTATACTAGAGCTACATGAGAAGATTTGAAAGACGAGCAGAACTAACGACCTCAACTTTCACTGTGATACACCTGTATATTTTTGTGAGCGTGCAGTGGCCCTGCATTATTTTCCCGGCCTGGTTGGTTCTCCTTGTGTTCATCTTCCTGGTGGCTACTATTGTTACGAATGGAAAAGGCTGTGTGCTTCTGTGGAAGCCATCTTCTTTGGTACCCTTATTTCATGGACTGGACAGTCTTTAGGATGATGATTAGTACGTGAGTATTAGCATAATAGGAGGCCGTTGCCTCGACAGCAAGAACCACCAAAAGCGTCAGAGCTGGGAGTATGCCGATCTCGACATTGGGCTATTTCAATGGTAAACAGAACCTTCTAAGGAATGCAATCGGTGTTGTGCAACCCTACTCGTGCTATTGAGGTCTAATATGGACCAGTTTCGGGTCCACTATAGAATAGTCTTGAAAGGACTTCCTTAGGAGTAGACATAATCAATCGCCTTCATTGGCACTGGTTATACATGCCTCATAATCCATTTGCCCTTCACCGTGTATTATAACAGCCTCAGGCGCATATCTGAATTTAATATACGGGTATCAGACGATCACCAATGAACTGTTTGACTTTCACTGAATCTCAATACATCAACAATCAAATGATCCCATTTGTGCTCTCACATGTGACCTCCTAGATCTTGTTCCTCAACCATCCTTAGTTTTCATATTTGACATCCACTGCGATGTCCTCCTCGCCGCTTGAGTAAGTGTCCTCGTGCAAAGTGTGGAACCGAGGAGCTTGCCAAAACCGATGTCCCCACTTGAACTCGCCATTCATGCCCCAGTCCACAGCCACCCCCTGCGGCTCAGGCACATTCACCAACGGATGCAACCACGACACTACAAATCAATGATGCGGAGTTGGATGCCGGCATTATCTGCCTCCTGTTTGAGCCACTGCAGTCCGAATACCGTTGGATCTCCTTCAATGGGAGCTTCGATTCGGAGCTCTTGGAGGTTTGGAAGTTGCTTCTCTCGGTAACGAAGAAGTGTACACAAGACATGAATCAAGTTGCGGAGCTCAGTCTCGTTCTGTGGGCTTGTGATTGACAGAAGCTCAAGTGTCCTGGGAAGACGGGCATTCAGGGGAATCTTGGGGTTTGACCACAGTCCCATTCTATCAACAACTCCAGCTTAAGTCCATTGCTGAATTTACCATACATGCTTTCTTTATGTGGGCACCAGATGAGATACCCTGCTGCGATATTCAATTTAGTCAAAACTTTCATGCACGCCAAGTTGATGGGGGAAAGATAGAGATGTTCCCAATCGTGCCAAGCACACTTGGCAAACGAGAGCTCGAGGGATTTCAATGTATCGCATCTCGTTCGGAGCGCGGCTGTGAGATCGGATACTAGCAGGATGTCCTTGTCTTCTTGCTCTTCGTCGTTATCATCTTGCACAGTTTGTCCAGAGTCTTGTCCATCGTCGTCATCATCATCATCTTCTTTCACTACTTCCTCGGACCATCCACGTTGATATATCAAAGTCTCGAGGGAATCACATCCTGCGAGAATACGATGGAGATAGGGAGCGGTAAATGCGCAATCGCGAAATTCCAGGTGAATGAGCGACGGTGTGAGCACGGTAGGTAGACCTTTGATATCTTCGTCCTCCAGATTGATACCGCTCCATTTGGTGCCAAAGAAATATGTCAACGAAGGTAGCTGAAGCCATCTCATAAGACGAACAGGGTCGCCTGCGGAAGTGTCACGGCATTCGATTTTTAAATGAGTCAGCCCTTCAAGGACAGGTTTTGTGTTAATCAAGACTTCTCCACCTGGAATCTCGCACAAAATATCTTGCACCAAGTCATCAACCAAGAACTCATTGTCAAAACCGTCATAGTTCGCGTGTCCAAGGCCGATCTCGAGCCTCTCGAGGCAAGGAAGGGATACCAGCAGCACTGACAGTATGGTATCCGAGCGTAGAGACATGAATCGAAGAGCAGATCGCAAGTGGTATGTGTTTGTCTTGGAGATTGACAAGTTATGAATGGCATTGGAAAGCATGCTGCGGTCCTCGGGATTGGTGTCATAAGCCCTGGGCAATTTCTGGTCTCTGCGCATAATATGTCCATTGGCTCCGCACAGGAGATTTAAGTCACTCAGGTCGAGGAATCGAACTTCTTTTGCAAGATCGGGAAACCGGAGAACTGTGGTAGTAAAGTGACGAAGCTTCTTGGGCGTCAGAATCTCAGAATATTTCAAGTCCCAGGATACCTTACAATACGATAATTTATCGCGTCTTGTTGAATTCCCAAGGGTGTCTCGCTGGGTGCCCGATCTGTGCCAATGGGCCCAGCTCCCAACCTAATATGTGACCACTGGGTTGGGCCGGTTAGGCGGGCGAGCTCCTTGTTGCAGGCACCAAGCCTGGCCAGAGTCAGGTTGTCACTGGTGAGCTTTGCGATGATCAGGACTTTTATCTCCAGGGGAAGGTTGTCAAATGCCATTTTGAAAGCTTGGGCGCATCAGATCAGGATGGCTGCAGGATGGCTGCAAGTTTGCGGCTCGCCGATCTTGTTGGCGGTGAACGAGAGTTGTGACGAGATCAAAGGACAGGCCTCGACCTTGACTTGAAGCGGATAATGAAGGAAGGGAATCGGTGAAATGGAAAGGGAAATATGATGATGAGAGAGCGAGAGAGATTGAAGAGATCACACCCTTTCCGAATCAGGTAACATCAAGGCAAATAGTAAAACAAGGCAAACAAAGGGCCTCAAACTTCGAGTCAGTTCTGTCCTCTCATGTGAAGGTATAAGTGTTGACGGCTGTCTAGCGTGTATTATGCCCGAAAGACCTTCTCCTGTACTGCAAATTTGAGTATCATAATATCGCTTCTTATATATACAGAATAGATATTAGTACTCACGAGAACCGTTGATCAACCAAAATACCCTTCGAATACTACCAAGTCTGTGACAGCGCTGGCTTGAATTGCTATCAAATGCCCTAGACTCACGATAGCCTTCTCTGGAAAGGCCATAGATGTACTGAAACGCTTCCACACAAACTTCTTCTAGCAATTAGTCGGGACATGTAGTCTTGCGAATTATTGCAATGGTTTGTATGTTGCGAGAATCCAGACCATGATTGACTTCAGTCAACATGAATAGCGCTCTGTATATCGAATTTAGTCAGATTACCCAGAAGAGCAAACTAGGAAACAGATTAAAATACTCGTTGCTCACGAGACGTTGAAGTCCAAGGATGCCTGCAGGACGGGCTGAAGTTCTGGACGCTTCGTCGCAAACGGTGCCCGTGTGCCAACAAATAGATTACACAGAGGTGAAATGGGTAAAATCCCCAGCATCCAGTGTCCCTATGGCCGGCTGGTGCATCTTCCAGAACTGTTGGGTAATCTGTAAAATATCTTTGATAGCTATGCGTGCTCTCGGGTTAATATACACGCCAAACTGGATCAAAGATCAGTGTACCATATGCATTACGAAAAGCCTTAGCTCTCTGGTAAGTCATTCTGATGGATTCTTTTAAAGTGAACGAGTGGAGAGCGGGTTTGAATAGCGGTGATCGTACGTACCTGTTCATCCAAGTGAGGATTCGACTTCTGCAATAGCATGAGCTGCTCTTGCAATGCGCTTTGCATTCTGGGCAAGAGTGTGGGTTGTTTATGATAACAAAGTATAGCAAAAAGGTATCCAACAGGCAGTATAAATGCTAGATATGATTTATGTCTTCTAGAGAATCAATTCTTAAGCTATTTATTGTAAGCTGAAATTTACCGACTATTTCACGGCAACTACCGGACAAAGGGCTTTGACCGTGATCCCACGTCATGTGTTGTATCCTGCAGAAACTTGCAGGTAGCTGACAACCTTAGAAAGATCAGAAGATCATCAGATCAGCGGGCTGGCATCAACCCACACCACGATCTACAATCTGTGTGTCCCGCGTCGATGCCACTGGTAATTACTATAGAATACATAAAATGCCCAGAAACCAAAAGCTGAACGTTCAATCGGACAAAAAAGCTAGTATCAGTTTCAGCAGAGATCGTGCCTTGCAACGCTATTTGGCAATCGACAAACTTCAGGGCTGTTCACCCGACCTCCCTAGTTAGTGTCCCCACAAGTGATATGAACCGTCTATACAATACTTTCCTGTATATGATATGGAGTATGAACGTACTTTAATGTGATGGGACAAAGGAGCCAGCTCGCTCATCTTGAGAAGCACGCCGCCTGAAATCCCAAATTTGTGAAGGACCTAATAGATTGCCTCAGTTGACAAACCCCATATCTGTCATAGGCATGATTCTGTTAATAGATGCTCCCATTTTTCCCCCGAGTGGTTCAGCTGAGCCATTGCTGACCACCAGTTTGAGAAGCAGGGGTTCAGGAACATTGGGCTGGCTGAAATTATTTGGGATCTATGTGTACTCACCAATGGAACAGGTGCTTCGGCAAGGCTACATGTAGGCTTATATTGGATGATGCTTATCTTGTCAGTCGGATCAGAAGGCCAATAACTGGTTACATGGAGCGGCTTTCTTTTCTGTAGTAATTGCGGCCACGGCACCGCGGGCTCACTCAGGCCCGGAAAGAAAGCCAGTTATGCCTCACCTGAGTCATGGATTGACTTAATAAGAGTCAAGCTAGCATTTATATCGGCATGGCCGGTGAATAATGTATTACGCCGCGACGAACACAGTAGACGAAGATGATGCATTCGCGGGGTCCGTGCGAGGGCGGTGAATTTCGCGATCGGCGATAAGGGAAACGATAACGATAATGCCTATCGGCACGTGAGCATCATAACTCCACATCTTGAGAAGCTCTGAATGTCGATACAGGTATAACCTCAACCATCCAGCTTCATGAGTCAAAAGCCCCCTGACTAGAGATTTGATTAGTCTTGCGTTTTTGTGAGTACATATTTCACGGTATGTTCCTTCCCTCTCGGCGATGGCCACCCCTCAAGTCAATTCAATCTCGTCCCCTCGCCGTCGCCTGTTGTTTATGATTTGCGCTACCCGCACTCAATCGCTTCATTCGAACGTCAAACTCTGTAAATAGCAATGGCTGACGAGCATCGCAGTGTCCTCGAAGTGCTCGAGGATCTCGGGGTCCCTCCCAGTGACCACGAGTTCCTCCGCCGGCTTTACTCGTCGGAAGATCCGTTCCTGGGTCCGTCCAACGCTGAACTCGATCCCACCGCTGGCAACAGGGGTCCTGCACGGCTTAGTGCTGCTAACCTCTCCAACACACTTGCGTCACTTCGTATCAGGCAAGCCATTCCCCGTGCGCTGGTCTCGGTCCTTGACTAACATCGGTCTTGCAGTGAGCGCGCTTGTGTGCAACGCCCCGCAACCACTCCACAAGAGCAAAGAGATCCAGTCCATTACGGGGACGAGTGGGTCTCCCTGATCTCCCATGAATCAAACTCGTTGATTTCTGAATTACGCGGACAACTTGAATCGCCAGAGGACATCCGACGCCCAGGATTCGCCGAACCACCCGGGTCATCCGTCTATGACAGCGACCGAGGTGAGCCCAGTAACTTCCATAGTGACCCCCCTACCCCTGGACCCTCAGGATACCAACAGGCATCCCTGCCAAGGACCCCGGCCAGAAACAACGACGTTGAGGATTTGATTTCCTCTTTCCCACGTCCTCCTGTTTTCAATTCCCCGAAGGGAAAGCGAGCCCTCTCTGCCATTGCACCCGGAGAGCAACAAGGAATTATTGAAACCAGTACAAAGGCTAACCTTTTCCCGCCTGACACCAGTCGACGCGTCAGCACTCCGACCATATTCGCTGATTCATCCACCGTGTTTCACACTGATATCATTAATATCGGAGATCAAAGTCACTCGGTCCCTCAGCGCCAAAAGAAGCAATCTGCGTTTGCGCGCCTTAGTCAGACCAAACGTCACCGTCGGACCAATCCTCGCCGTCTTCGGGCCGATCCTTCGAGAATCCACGGCAGTTTTAGCTTCGATACTCTAGTCATCCCGGCTCCAATTCCTTCGCCGTCTCCCCCTAGTACCCCAACTCGTACGCCCCTTCTCAACGTTTCGCCCTCAATTTCTCGCACATCTCCTGTTGACTTCATCGAGCAAGATCCTCGCAGCACTCGTCACGGAGGACACAAGGTGTCACTCGACCACCCCAAGCCCATCTATCCTTCGTGCGGAAACCGTGACCGCAGAGCCTCGTATGGGCTATTCCCGCAACCCTATCATTCCCCGTGCGCATCTTTCAACTCGACCATCCACAAGGTACCTCGCGTTCACCCATACTGTGAGGCGACGGATCCACGCTTTTACCGGAAGATCCCTTACCCTTCACCTCTTGCTAAATCCTCCCGCTCCTTGGACAAACACGCAGCAAGACACACAGGGTCTTTCAAACGGTGCCTCTCCCGAGTTTGCACACGCATCTCATCCTTGTGTGACCGTTAGGTCCACCTTACGAGGTGTGCCCCTGAAGACAACATTATTTCTGTCTTCGTGACAATTTTCCATATCCTTACGCGGCATCATCTTATCCACTCACTGCCTTAACATCTCCATTCCGGTTATTTGCACGCAAGAAAAATACCAAAAACCAAAAAAGCCCCCCAACTTCCACCTCTATTTCCAATTATCCACTGTCATTTATCATGGACCCTCGTGGGTCTCGGTTCTTGGACCCATCCTCTGCGATGGCGGCCATAACCAAGCACAAAGTTGAGGCAATCAAGCTTGCTCGAGAACAAGGAATTGCTGTCCAAGAGATGTGTCGACGTGCGAAAACTGATATTCCACCGTACGAGTTTGAAGAATTGATAGGCAAAGGCGCCTACGGTCGAGTCTACAAAGGTCATGAAACAAAATCGGGTCGACTGGTTGCTATCAAGGTTCTAGATATTGATTCTCTCGACTACAAGTCTTTACGAGATTTCAGGGATGAGTCGATTAAGGACTTCATTCACGAAACAAAGGTTATGAAGCAAGTCAAGGACGCTGGGGCAAAGAACATTAATGAGCTCATCGAAGCCATTTCTATCCATTCACAATTGTGGCTTGTTTGCGAGTACTGTCCGGGCGGTAGTGTTCGTACACTGGTAATTGAATTCCTATTTTCTACCCTTTCAGAGCTTTATTGACCAGTCGTAGATGCGTGCAACCGACGACAAACTTGATGAAAAATACATTATCCCCATTGCGCGCGAGTTGGCCGTTGGTCTCCGCGCTATTCATGAGGCTGGAATCATCCACCGTGATGTCAAAGGTAAGCATCTCGACTCGCAGATGATAAGAATTCCTGCTGACTTTAGTTTCCACAGCTGCAAACATCTTAATCCATGAAGAGGGCCGGCTGGAGATCTGTGACTTCGGTGTCGCCGGTGTTCTTCAATCACAACGAGACAAAAGATCTACTTGGATTGGAACACCACACTGGATGCCACCAGAAATGTTCTCAACTCGGGGCGAGGCTCATCGTTACGGAAGCGAGGTAAGACATTCTTATGAGATTCTATACGCCCAGTCACTGACATTGGCTTTGCAAGATCGATGTGTGGGCATATGGGTGCACGCTATTTGAATTCGCAAACGGCAACCCACCGAACTCGGGCCTGCGAGAGCGTATGCAAATTGGCCGCCAACTCAATCGAAACACACCCAAACTCGATAGCGATAGGTACAGCCAAGGCTTGAAGGATCTCATCGCTTTCGCTCTTGATTCCAACCCCGCAACCCGCCCCACGATGGCAGACATTCTAAATCACCCTTACATTGCCGACACTGATGAGGAGTATCCCACCTCAATTGTCAGCGAGCTGGTGCGAAACTACTACCAATGGTCTCAGCGAGGAGGCCAGCGTATTTCCTTGTTTCACCCAGGCGGTGCGGCGGCAGCAGAACTCCCTGGTGCCGAAGAGTCGGATGACGATTGGAACTTCAGTACAACAGATGGGTTCGAGCGAAGATTTTCTGTCATTGATCTGGATCAAATCGCTGCCTCTTTGGCTGCAATGGAACAATCAGTCAGTCCGACCGAGACAGCCTCTGACCAAGATTTTATTGATGAAGGCTCCGAGGGCGAAATGAATTATGAAGACAAGGTCAATTTCGATGAACGTGTGCGCCGAGGCGCCGAAGCAATGCAAGGACTTTTCGACGAGGAAAAGCCAAGCTACGTTTACGAAACAAAAAATGACTTTGTCCCCATTGAGCCCACCCCGTCCAACTCAGATCTGCCTCTCCGCACAGATACAGACCGCTCTTCTGTCACATCAACCTTCATTGACATTGATATCGGCTCCTTCGAGGCATCCCATTATGCGGCGGGGGCGCCTGCTGCCCAGCCTTTTCAACTGGTCGATGCAGACACTATTCGCGCGAATCGTTCCAGTATTCGCTTGAACAGAAATTCCAATGAGAACAGCTCGAAGTCTTCCGAAAGCGGCGTTGAAAGCGATGGATCTGCGTCTATCGATGATACATTCCAGCCGTCCGGTCCACGACCACCCACTATGGACTGGAAATTCCCAGTATTTATGCAAACTGACGAGGACAAGCCAGCCGACAGCGAAGAAACTCATGATCAAGACCCTACCCCGGCTCCTGGGCAGGAGTCAATTGAAGAAGAGTCCCTCCAGGCCGAAAAGCGTGCTACTATGGAATGGACATTCCCAGTCATGGGATCCGTCCCCGAGGAACAGGCCTACACTGATCGCCACGATACTCTTCGTGCACCTCTTCCTGGGATTCAGCCCATCCCGGAATCACAATCAATAGACGAGCCTGATGATTCCCGTCCTTCTACGTCTGCCTCCAACGCGTCTGACTCGGACTACGATCCTTTCCGTTTCGACCGCCCAACAACCCCCCGGGCACAAACTCCCTTCATCATAGCCACTTCTTCGACCGCGAGCTCCCTGCAATGATGGGCTCAGCTGGCTTTAATGAGTACGAGTCTTCAGGGCTTCTCGACGGCCCGGGGCCCGATGAAATATCCCAGCCTGTGTGGCGAGACTCTACCGACGGTAGCACACCACCTCTACCAACGGCCATCCCAATCCCCGAAACCCCCACTGCGTCCTCTGTGATTTCTGGCCCGGTCTCGGAGCCCGGCTCTCCGGTCTTCGAAACGATTCGCAATGTGCGACGAGACCAGGATCCAGAAGTCACGACCTCAAGACCTGAGGAAGTTGAAACCATCCCCTTCCCATCACTCGTGGCACCCAGCGCTGCGAGCTTGATGGAGGGTGCTGATGATGCCGCTGTGGCATTTGAGCTTGATCGGTTGCTGGGCGACTTCCTTGGGTCTCTCTCGGCCACGAGCAAGGCTCTCTCGAGAATCGCTGTCACCGGAACCAATGGCTACGAGGCTGAGTAGGTCTAGAGGACCAGTGGGGTGAATAAAGTATTTTTAAGGCTGGACCTCTTACTTTGGGGTCCCCCTAGTATGTTGTTATGATCACTTTGTTTCGAGTAATCTTTAGCGGTATCAATATCAAACCTTCTTTCAAACGACTAATGCCTCGGCTTTCCTCTCGTAGATCTGCTTATAGGCATCATGATCACTGGCAGTGTAGGCAACGATGTGCTGACTGTTTCTTGTAAATCAACACTCTACGACAAAGTATATCTCGCTAGGGCACGGGCTAATTACTATAGCTTCTCGTAGTATACCCTCCTGTACGTCCACAACATGTACTTCCTAACCATAAGCACTCATTGCTTCTCGTGAAGTCACTATGCGCGCTTGTATGGCGTTGCCTGTGAATCAAGGCGATCAGGTTCTACCCACCTTGATAGTCCTTCACTGTTTTCTTTTCTCTTCTTCTTTTCCCCCCTCTCCCTTCCCTATCTCGGCTTTTTCTTCTTCCTTCTCTTGCTTTGTTTTCTCTGTACTTCTTTTGATCTGGTCCAGTATGGCATTCCATTTGCCATCAGACCCTTCTGCACCTGAGGCTTTGGTCTGGAGCACATTTCCAGCTCCAACTACCTACGACGAGTGGCGGGCAGCTGTCTCGGAGGTCAAATCACTGAACCGCTCTCAACAATACAAACAGTGCGTGTCACGTTGCAAACAGCTCATTGACACTGCTACTGGTCCAGTTCGTGTTCACGTCTCATCATTTCGACGCACAACTAACGGGTTCCTACATAGGTTGAACGGATTCATAAAACTTCTCTCTACTATTACGCCGCAGTGTCATATGTTTCAATGTCTCAAGCAGCTCACGTCTACTCGGCAGCCAAGATCCCACTTCTGTACTTCGCTTTGGAGAATTTCATGGCTGCGAGCGAAACTTTGCCAGAGAATCTGATTCCTCCAATTCTGAACCCAGATCAGACCTACTCCCCCGTTGAGTGGCCGGAATCTGCTACTCCATCTCCTACTACTCCTGCAACACCGTTGACTTTCAGTAATTCTCCTCCTCCCGAGGCCCTCTTCAAGTCTTCCCCTCTACGCGGAGTATCTTCTGTCATGGATACGAATGGTCAGCTCGCTCGGCATGAAATTCTGACGCCACCTCATTCTGTCTATCCTTCCACTCCTCCCTCGTCTAGCGCTTCTCTGGCTACAGCTTTCGTCGTGACTCCGCGTTCCGTTCCTGCCATTTCCCCTCGGTCTCAGCCGAGTCCTATTAGGGATTATTCTCCTGTGGATGGTATCAATGGTGACATCTCACCTGTTTCGATCCCTGCCATCTCCCCTCGATCAGAAAAGCTTTCCAGTGTGAGCCGGAACTTCTCCTATCCAACTGGTAGCATTGTTCTGCCGCGGGGCCTTCCATCTCCTTCGTCTGTGGACAACGAATTGGTCTCTTTTGACAGTTCCAGAAATGGCGTTCCCATCGGCGAATCCCTGATGAAGAACATTACCCGCATGCTCGACAGCTCCGCTCTGAATGAGAGCGATGACGACCCTTTCGTCTCAAAGAAGCCTTTCCCTCCCAAGATCCGTCGCCAGGTACGCCTTTCCCCAATCGGTTTTCCTGCTGATCTTGAGGACCCCATAAGGCAAAGTGAGTTGGTTCCATCGCCGCTGTCTGTCCGAAAGGTGTCTGGTGAGGTGATCAAGTGTGATCGTTCGATGATCGTCTGTGGAGTCTTGAACAAGAAGAACCGTGGAAGCGAAAAGGATACTTGCAACAATTTCAACAAGCTTCTCCAGGATATTGATTTTCAGTCTAGATCAACCCAGAAGAACTGTGGCAGCGACTCGAAGCGGACTGTCCGTTCTCGCCCTCCCCGTCTGCCACTCAAGATTATTCCACATCCCCAGGTTAACATCAATGCAAACCAGCCAACCCCCAAGCCCCTGGTTCCGGAGCGAAAGCGCGTGGGCCCTATTCTGGTCATGCCTACGCCAGAGACCACCCCAGAGGCCACCCCAGAGGAGAAGAATACAAGTCCTAGTTTCCACTATTCCACTACTCCTCAAGGCTCACCCGAGCAAAAGCAATGGACTTCATACTCAACCCCATCCCCACCCTGCTCCTCAGTAACCCCAACCAGCGCAGCCCGAATCGAAGTATTCAACTCGAACACTAACTTCCTGCGCGAGATATTTCCCAAGGAAATTTCCTGGCTGCAGGAACAAATCGATCATGTCAAAGCCTTGCAGCTCATCCACCGTCCCCGTAGTCCAGTGGCCATAGTCCCAGACTTTTCTCGTTCTCGGTCCTTCTGGACATTCAGTCCCGTCCGCAGAAAAGTTGTCTCTGCCTTTCGTGGCTCCCACCCTGGTGAAGGTCCTAATATTGATAAGTTTGGGAATGTCCTCCGTGTTGAGACGAAGGTGCAGCGCATTGCGCGGCTGCGGAAGGAGAATTGGCAGATTGGTATTCAGGCTCATCATTCTGTCTGGAAGGGCTCTGAGTACTACGAGAAGTTTTGCGAGGATGCTATCGCCGATATTGAGGAGCGTAGAGGGTTTTTCTGAGGGGTCGATACATGGTGAAGTTTTGAGGGTTGCTATTTTGTTTCTCTTGTGCTTCGAGGATGTGGTGCAGGTGATGCATTTGCTTTGCATTTCTGCTGACATCTCTGGCGAATATGTTCCTCCTTTTTCTGTGGATAAATTGCTCCATTCTAACATTTGATTGCAAGTCTGGATCATGATTGCGATTATGGTCTTCTATGGTTCATCAGTCTAGTGGATCATTACTCTGGTGAGAGATGGAGTGGGATGGTGTCTATCGATGGGGAAACATGCAATGGCACATCGGAGGTCATGGTTTAACGAAATTCTTGATTGAGAATGATATGGAAAAACATTCAAATGTACCTATGATTCGACTCAATCTCAAGCTCGATTTCACACGACAACAGGTCAATACAAATTCATGGAATCCCGTTCCACATTCATCTCCATCTCCAAGTTAATTAAAGACTCTTGCTCATCACAGAGCCAATTCCCTCTCCGACTCCCCCTTTCCAAACACGCCACCGAGTTGGTTTCCTAGTTGATCTTGGATCTTGCTGAAGTTCTCATGTTCGATGAGCTTTTTGCCTGTGAGGCTCACTAAAGTAGAATGTTAGCATAGTCTTCACTTTCCGTTTGTGGTTCCAATACTCTTAAGTCCATAAGACACTTTATTTTCGCCCATACAATCCAGCAAGAATTCCTGGAGCTTCTTCTGGTATGGATCTAAGGTACCAGAGACCCAAGCGGCAAGAAGCACCACCTGGAATGCAAAAAAGCAGAGGAAGGATAGCATGATTGAATAATCCGCTACGGTGATATTTGTTTTTGAATATTGTAGTCCAAGTTTAACAGCAGAAGAAATCGGTGGTTCATATACTATGCGCAAGCCTATGACGTCCGACGATGACGCTGTGCCACACAGATACCCCCGGTGGGGTCGAAGCGGTGCGAATCAAGGTGGACTTTCATATTAACTGCCATATTCATATACATCATGACCGGGTCTCAGGTCTCGTCTGGCTTTATAGGCTTTTTCTTGTCATTGCCAGTCTGAATTTGGGGTTTTGGGGCGATTATCGGCCTCTTAGGGTTGCATTTTGGGTTATACATGTACTTTGGGCATAAATATTAAACAGTAGCTACAGATGAATACTATTAAGATCAAACTCATTTTCAGGCTAGGGCTGTAGCTGGGTAAATATAACGTGCGTTGGGATAGTATGTGAGGTCTATACCTCCTTGTCTAGGGCGGATTATTAGAGCCGTCATACAACTATGTTTTTGCTGTTGTCGTTATTGCAGTATTATTCTTATTGAAGTCTTGTCTTGTCTTGGATTATTTAATATTGTTTTATAATTATTCTGTGGTAATGACGCTATAAACTGCCCTGGTGTCTACCTAGGCATGCATAAGGTACGCAATGAGCCTCACTAGGCTATTTGGGCAGCTAAGCCACCTGTGCATGCATGATAAGAATATTGAACAAGACCAGCTCCAACCATTTGCACTGTTATTGTCTTATTGCCTTATTGTCTCACAGCAATATAAGCTGGAACCCCCTGATTTCAGGCAGTAACTTTTAGTGTGGCGGTGCAACGCTAAACCCTACGCCTTATCGCGTCTAGAACACCCTCACCTTCACCTTTCCTCTCCTTCTTAACTGCTCTGTTTCTCAAGATCACTGTTCAGCTTGACTGATCGTGATTGACCTGATATTTCGCATCATCCTGGTCGTATGTCCCATTGCCCATGATGAGAATCTCTATGCAGCCACCCCCGCGCATGGCCAGATCACCCCTCGAATTTGGCGTCCAAATCACTGACCCTGTTCTCTCCTTCTAGACCTGCCTCACTGCATTCGCAACACTTTAAACTCTTCACAGACCTCCGACCCCTCAATCTCGTCGTGTCCAACCCGCTACCTACTGGGTTCCGTGCCCAAGCCATCACACACCGCGTCAACCTTCGGGCGTCTGCAGCCCTATCCCCACATCATGAGCTGTGAGTCGACATTTCATATTCGTCGGACTTTTGCCCTCTGGTCTTAGCGTGATTCGTCGCTTGATTTTGCCGGCAATTATTCTCCGGGTCGCGTCAGCCTTGCCCACAATCCCAATCTGCGCTGCGCTGCGATTATCATGTCGATATACACACTGCCCACAAGCTATCTCTGGAAGCTGTGGCCAATACTGGTCCTTCTTTTGTGTCATGGTCTGCGTCTCAATGCCTGCGTCCCTGTCTGTTCGGTCGGCTCCCTCACGGCGGCCGTAATTTCATTTGTTTGCGCGATTGCTTTCAAGGTCCTTCAATGTGCTGACCATGCTTTTTATAGTCGCAAATATGCTCAACAAGCTGTCCGGGCAGCCGGAGAGCTATGAGAAGAAGTACGGTCTTTCTATCCAATCTCCATTGCCCTGCATTTGCTAAACTATTCTCGCTTGTTAGAGCTCTCTACAAATTCGGAAGAACGCTAGGTGCAGGCACATACGGCATTGTTCGTGAGGCAGAGACCAATGATGGCCAGAAGGTTGCTGTCAAGATTATTCTCAAGAAGAATGTGCGCGGGAATGAGACCATGGTCTACGATGAGCTTGAGATGCTGCAATCGCTCCAACACCCCCACATTGTCTCGTTTGTCGACTGGTTCGAATCCAAGGTGAGTTAAACTCAGGACAGGTCACATTGGAGATTTCTGACTGAGGGAATAGGACAAATTCTACATTGTCACGCAACTAGCTGTTGGCGGCGAGCTGTTCGACCGCATTTGCGAGTATGGCAAGTTCACTGAGAAGGATGCGTCGCAGACCATTCGCCAGGTACTTGATGCTGTAAACTACCTGCACAAGCGCAACATTGTCCACCGAGGTCGGTTTCTTTGTATACACCCAGCACGTTCTGATCGCTGATCTTTCGAAGACTTAAAACCCGAGAACCTCCTCTACCTCACCCGCTCCGCCGAATCCGAGTTGGTCTTGGCGGATTTCGGTATCGCAAAAATGCTTCACAGTCCCTCCGAAGTGCTGACCAGCATGGCGGGCTCATTCGGCTACGCCGCTCCCGAAGTTATGCTCAAGCAAGGCCACGGCAAGGCCGTCGACATGTGGTCGCTGGGTGTGATCACCTACACTCTTCTCTGTGGCTACTCCCCCTTCCGATCCGAGAATCTGACCGACCTGATTGAGGAATGTCGGTCTGGCCGCATCATCTTCCACGAGCGCTACTGGCGCGATGTGTCCCAGGACGCCAAAGACTTCATCCTCACTCTTCTCAACGCCGACCCCAGCAAGCGAGTTACCTCGGAGGAAGCCCTCAAGCACGAGTGGCTGACCGGAAAGACGGCCGGCGACCGCGACTTGCTGCCCGAGATCCGCGCCTACATCGCGCGCGCCCGTCTTCGTCGCGGTATCGAGATCGTCAAGCTTGCCAACCGTATCGAATCGCTCAAGATGCACGAGGAAGAGGATGGAGAAGATATCCCCAGTCCCATGGACATGGGCGCTTCTGGAGAGGCAGGTGCCGTGCCGGCACCAGAGTCCAACGGTGAGGCTAGCCCTGCATCTGGCCACGCAAAGAAGAAGAGTTTCAGTAGTGTTGCCCGTGGTGCCATCTTCCGTGAAGTTGTTTTGGCCAAGGTTCGTGAACAGAAGGAGAACGACGAACGAGAGAAGGTTGAGCGCGAAGCGAGAGACAAGGCCGCGCAGGCATGATTGCATGCTAAATCGTTCCTCTGTCTCTTTAAGTCTTTTTTTCTTCTCATTTGTTGATACGTTGATTCTTCCAGATATGCTGCCTTGTAAGTCGTTTCTTACGCCGGGCGGCTTCTTGGATATAGTTCTGTGATTCCCCTTTTTTCATAGTCTATCAAAGTGGACATACAATTCTTCGACTGTATTCTTGTTTTATATTGTGCCATAGTTACTAGTTGACTCTGTCAAATCGACCCGATGATCGGAGGTAGACTACCCCAAAACAGCCCACCGGATAGAAAGCCGATATGCAACTATAAGGCTAGCAGAATGGGGATATGCAACTATATGGAGAAAGCAACGTAAGCGGGGGAATAATAGAACCTCGGTCTGCAGAATCTCAAAGGTGGGTGTCTATTTGCTTTTTCCCATTCCTCTCATCCCCCTTGCATCCCAGGGTTAATTCATCACCAAACACCTTCAGCCAACACAGCCAACACAGCCAACACAGCCAACACAGCCAACACAGCCAACACCGCAAACATTTTGGAGCAATTCATCCATACCAGAAATGGACTTCAAATCCACAGAAAGGGATGGGCCCTCAACCCATAAAGAGCTTCAAGAAAAGCAATTGAACCCTCAAACTGTTGAGACAGCAATGTTAACTGTATCACAAGCCGAGTACGACAAGCTCCTCCGCAAAGTCGATCTCCGCGTTATTCCAATTCTGGCGGTATTATATCTCTTGAGTTTTCTGGATCGAGGTAGTCCTCTTGTATCCTAGCTTTGAGGAATATACTCATGAAGTTGTATGAACAGGTAATATCGGAAATGCAAATGTCCAGGGATTGTCTACGACTTTGGGTTTAGTTGGCCAGCAATATAATTGGTGAGTATTAAGATATGAGCCTTAACGCAAGTACAGGGCAAGTGACACCAAATTAATTATTATATTGCTACATGAACTAGGTGTCTGACAATCTTCTTCTTTCCATATTCGTTCTTTGAGCCGCTTTGCAATTTGTTGCTTGTTCGTTTGAAGCCTAGTATTTGGCTTCCGTCTATTATGGTTGCATGGGGTATGGTGCTATGTTCTCTTGTTCCGTGGGCTTCTTGGCTGATCTGTTACGATAGGGCTCGTCATGACTTTGACTGGAATTGTGCAGAATTATTCTGGTTTGTTAGCTGCTCGGTTTTTTCTTGGTAAGTTCATTGGATTCGAACTGGGTTTTCTTGGGCTGATAATTGCTATAGGAGTGACAGAAGCGGGACTTTGTATGCTTTTCTATTTCTACATGCACTTCTGGCTCTTGTCCTAATTTCGAACAGTCCCTGGTCTGGCTTTTTACGTTTCCCTATGGTAGGATATCATATTGAGAAGCCATGCATATTTATGCTCACAAAGTGCAGGTATCCTCGGAAGAACTCGCAGTTCAGACTAGCACTCATCTTCGCATCTGCTTCTATGGCCGGTGCATTTTCCGGTCTATTGGCCTATCTCATCAGTAAGATGGATGGTGTTGGTGGACTAGAAGGCTGGCGATGGATGTATGTTCCCGCTCGATTCTTGAGTTGGGTTTTGACCACTAACGTATTATAGTTTCATCCTGGAAGGCCTGTTGACCGTGGTTGTTGCGGTCTTTTCTTTCTTCCTTGTTTGGGATGAACCTGCAACTGCGACTTTCCTCTCGGAGCATGAGAAGAGGGTCTTGCTGGATGCTTTGAACTATACCCAGACTGAGACGTCGACAGCACCTCAGCTTGGAAATAAGCACTCATTCAAATGGAAACATTTTGTAGATGCGCTTCTCGATTGGCAGGTATATATTGCTTACTCTAGGTCTATATGAAAGGGATGTTGCTGATATTCTTTACTAGACATGGTTCCATTGCCTCGGGTACTGGGGAATGGTAAGTCTAACCTTCCTTCCTCATATACTATAATACTAACAAAGCATGAAAGGCCTGCTCTGTATATGCACTATCCCTATTCCTACCAACAATCATCAAAGGTCTCGGCTACTCAGCTGCCCTGGCCCAACTCCTAACAATCCCCGTCTACGCAGCAGCGACAGTATCCTGCATCCTAGTCGGCTACTACTCCGACAGAACCGGTCAAAGAAGCTTCTTCACATTCGCCTGCTACACCGCTGTCTTCGTGGGATTCCTTATCGCCGTCGCTCCAGCACGCTTTATTCCCGGTCTGACATATGCGGGCTGTTTCATTGCCGCGTGTGGCATGTACCCGGCTATCCCCGGTCTTCTGACCTTGTCCTCGAATAATTGGGCACCGGATACTAAGCGTGCTGTAGGTATTGCTATCCAAATTGGTTTTGGGACGATGGCTGGTGCTGCTGCTTCTAACTTTTATCGGAGTGAGGATGCGCCGAGATATCGTCTGGGGCATGCTTTAGTGCTAGTTTTTGCAGCTTTGGGGCTGTTAGCTATGATCTTTTATTATGTTATTTGTCGTAGGATTAATTCTAAGAGGGATTCCAAGGCTGATAGGGTCCCTCGGTTTGTGGCGGAGGACTTGGTGGACTTGGGTGATAAAGCGCCTAGCTTCAGATATACTCTTTAGGGGCTGAAGTATGACTTGACATGATTCCATTGGATCAGAACCAAATACAATACCTTTTAGCTAAATCGTCCTCATCATCGCAAAGTTACTACTGAAACAAAGGAGTCATCTTCGTGGCATGACCGGGCAAGTATAAAGTCAGGCGTCAATATCACGTGCCTCTATCTCCCCACCTTCGCATCCTTCCATAGGAACATCTCAACGCTCTCAAATATCTCGTTCTCGAGTTGATCGCTTTGCATCGTCTTTCTCTTTGCGTTCGTGAAGTTTTCTACTCATCTGCCCCACGTCATACATCTGCTACCCCACACCGCCCCTCCTACTCCACCGGAGCTCTCTTGATCGCCAAGTCTTTGCACTCACCAACTTTCAAGTCCACCGTCATGTTCGCAACCAAGCGCCTGGGCAAGGTGAGTATTGTCTCTTACTTGTGTAATTGTCTTGGAGGTGAACTTAGCTGACTGTTTTGATTACAGGAGCTCATGAAGGTACGGACGCCCTCCCCGCCTTTTTTCCACTTCAGTCCACTTTGTCGCATTTCACTTTTTGTCCATCTCGCATCATCATGAATCTCATTCACCCTATCTTCAGTCTTCTAACACTATGATATTTCCAGATGAAGGACCATGTCCCGCCAGGAATCGAGATTGTCAAGAGTGACACTCTTGAGGAATGGCAGATGGACATTAAGGTCCTCGATGACAACCCTCTCTACTTCAACCAGACGTACCGACTGAAATTCACTTTCAGCAACAAGTACCCCATCGGTAAGTTCCAGCTTCTCACGCAACCAACCTTATTCTTACTTCCTCCCGGGGTGCAATCCACACCCTTTTCTTGATAAGTCAAGTTGCGCTATTTCTGACATTTATGGTCTTTCTAGAACCCCCAGAGGTCCAGTTCATTCAATGTGACGCTTCTACCGGCCACCCCCGCACGATTCCCATGCATCCCCACATCTACAGCAACGGAATCATTTGCCTCGATCTCCTCGGAACGGCCGGCTGGTCGCCAGTTCAGACTGTCGAAAGTGTCTGCATGAGCCTCCAGAGCATGCTGACTGCGAATAACCGTGACGAGAGGCCACCCGGCGACCAGGAATTCATCACTCACAACCGCCGCCGTATCCGCGACATCAACTTCGTCTATGAGGACGACAACGTATGAATCCGGTTCTGTTCATAGTCGGGGCTGGGTTGGGGTCCATAACAAGGGCATAGAATCGTTGAATATATTCTTATCTTGTGGTGGGGCGGCGCATACTTCGGCGTTTCTGTGTGTGTCATTCCGGAGCCGAGCCGGAGAAGCATAATGGGGGTCAGTTTCCTTCTTTTTCTCGCCTGTTCTTTTACGTTCGCATTATGCTGGCGCTGATCGGTCATTTGACTTCTAATCGCGGAATAGGTGACTTTTTCCGCAGGAGTTTATGGGTTGTATTTTAGCGGTGTGATCAATGCGAGAGCCCTTTCCTATGTGACATGATTCCTTGCGGGATATCAACTACTTCGACCCTAGAGAGTAGAATGTAACATGTAGAGCAAGTCCGATAATTCCACAGCTTCGGTGGGGTTATAAATCCCCTGTCAAATTTTGTATTGACCTCCACCCACCAGCCTGCCACGTTCACTACAAATTAGAACACGGGCTAGGTATACCCTCTTAACAGATCATTCGGCCTTCAAGCGATGAATCTAGAGCAAGTAGACACCATTGAAACTCTATGTTGTAACTATATTGGATATTAAGCATTTCCCGTCACATGATTGGTCAGATCGCTTATACCCCCCAAACAAGATTAGCCCTAACCTCAAGTATAAAGACAAGAGATATTTCCCCAAACCACGGGCAACCCCAATATCCCATCCAATCCGAAAAAGATGCAACCCAAGACCCAAATTGACTTATTCCAGGGCTGGCCAGCCACCGCCATGCTACCAACCCAACGCCTGAAACAAGCAGCCAACGACGTCTTATCCAATAAGACTATCTTCAACGACGGGCTGGCCTATGGTCCCGATGAAGGCTATTACCCCCTCAGGAAGAATATAGCCAATTGGCTATCACAGTCATATACACCCCTGCATACTATAAATGCAGAGCGCATATCCATAACCGGCGGCGCAAGTCAAAATCTAGCATGTGTACTGCAGGTATTCACGGAACCGGCCCAGACGCAGAGAATATGGCTAGTTGAGCCCTGTTATCATCTTGTCTTTCGGGTCTTTGAGGATGCCGGATTTGCTGGGCGCATGGTTGGGATTCCTGAGGATGAGGGTGGTATGGATGTTACTGCTCTTGAGCTTGCTTTGAGTGAGTTTGAGAGCAGTGAGAATGTAAGTCAGAGTAACCAGGTATGTTTTTCTTCCACGGCTGGAAGAGCTAGGTATGGGCTTAACTCCTTGAAGCAGGTTACCAAGCCCCCCAGGCCATATCGAAAGATATACAGGCACGTTATATACTGTGTCCCGAGCTTCTCGAATCCATCTGGGACAACGATGTCACGCGCACGGCGGGAGGCGCTTGTTAGAGTTGCTCGTAGGTATGACGCTCTTGTCGTCTGTGATGATGTGTATGACTTTCTCAATTGGGGGGTTGTCCATGCCTCTGCCGCTGTGGCTAAGCATCCGCCGCGCATTGTGGATGTCGACCGGGAGCTTGACGGAGGTCCTCTGGATCAATTTGGCAATACTGTGAGCAATGGGTCTTTCAGTAAGCTTATCGGTCCCGGGTGTCGGGTTGGATGGGCTGAAGGGACCGAGGACTTTGTTTATGGACTTTCTCAAGCGTAAGTCTTCTACTCTGCATCATTTGGAGAAACTTAACGTGGGCGTGGACTAAATCGTCGAAGTGGTTCTACGCGTTCGGGTGGTGCCCCTTCTCAGCTGATGTCGACTTTTATCAACGAGCTACTAGAGGATCATTTCTTACCGGGGTACATCGCGGATGCACTCATTCCTCTGGGTCGAAAGCGTCACCGTCTACTGGCATCAGCAATCAAAAGATATCTTGGTCCTCTAGGTGTATCGTTTACTCCTGATCCTGAGACTAGTCCAGTGGTTGGGGGGTACTATATCTGGGTTCAACTCCCGGTTACAGTGAATGCCACTCGGGTGTGTCATTATGCCCTCGAGGAGCAAAACTTAGTGCTAGGTAATGGTGAGGTTTTTGCTGTGCCAGGGCGAGATTCCTTGGGGAGAGATTTGCATCGCAGATTAAGACTATGTTTCATGTGGGAGGATGAGGAGCGGTTAGTTGAGGGTGTTGAGAGGCTTGGGGCCGTCATTGAAAACTTGATAGATAATTAAGAGCAAATATAACTTATCACATGGAGATGTGATACTGGTAATTTCAAAATTCCAACATGCAGCTTTCACCGCGAATGCAATAACTCGATTTATCCGTAGAACCAATATTCCGCGGCGTATGCAACTTGTATAGTCTCATTTTGACCAGTGCATGTAGACGGCGGGTCTCCTTGGGATGTCACAACTCGATAAACCTCCTATCAAGAATAGGTCAAAAGTGCTCGTAGCTAAAGCTGCTAGGTCAATCACTCACCTGAATATTACACCCATCCTTGTGTCCAAGTTTCAGCCATGGAACATTGCCGCTCTGCCTATTAGATAGTCCCGTCGCAGGAGCTGAGACAGATGCGTCCTTTTTGGCAACGATCCAAGATTGAGAGCCACTCAAGCTCAAATCAAAGACCGGATCCCCGCCAGCGTTGAAGTAATGCTCGCCGATTATGAGATCGGTGCTCTTTGTGCCCTGGCCGAAAAGAGCTGCCATGAAGACGATGCTTCCAAGAGGTGTGTTGCTCATGATTGCAGGGAGCTGGTGGAGAAGAGCACCCGAACTCGATGCAACACAAGAGGCATCAAAGAGAGTTGCTGCGGCTCCGGTGGCAATAGGCTTTGTAGCGGCTTTGTGATTTGATGGAGCATTCAGCGCCAGGCAAGAGTAGTTCTGAGTTCCACGCCCAAGCACAACGTATTTGAGGGTAAGGTTCGTAGAGGGGGGTGGTAGTTTCATCTCTGTGTCTTTCAATGGGATAGATGCGTTGGCAAGAGAGCAGTTTCCGAGGTTGATAAGGTCAAGCTCGCGAGAGATATGAGAAAATGAAGCGGCAAGAGCTAGAGGATGAGGAAGTGCTGAGTATGCGTCAATGGTTGCTGCTACAAAGAGCAAAGCAAGCGTTAGAAAACATCTCATTTTGGTATCGGCGATTTGTAAAGAAATATAGTCTTGATTTCTCGAAAAATCAGGTCGGAGGTCTTAGGAAAGAACCGGGGAGGAGTAGGGAGGATGTTAAAGTCAACAAAGATAGGAAGTTATAATATTAAATCAGGGGTATGGTAAGGCTACCTTGATATGTAACAAAGAGTAAATGCTCCGAATTTGGAACATGCCGTCCAGATGGTCAGGGTCACAGTTTACGCCAGATCGAATCAAGCGCAATAGATTCCGATTCAATGAACCAATGGCTGTACCAACGAGAGACTCCTCATAAATAAAAAAATCCCCGCATCTAGTCGGTAGTTGGTATTAGAAAGTATTCGAGCCTGCTGACTGAGGAACTTACGGGGCTAAGGAGAGCTAAAATTGGCGTCTTTGTTTTGTCAGATTTCACATACTTGAATGACCGGAGAGATAGGCTAGGTACTTTTAATTTCCATACACTCATAGTTAGAGCTTATTGTATAACCTAAACGAATACAACCACACGAACGGGCTTTGTATGTTACACTAGCTCAGTCGTTACTGGTCAGTCGGCAAGTTGCGGCTTTGAACGTTGGACAGGGAATTAGCTTTAGGGTAATATATTTTGGCCTTTTGCTACCCCAGTATAACCTTAATAAGGATGCTAAAATACATATTCTACAGGTGTATTCTAAGATTTTTCCAAAACCTGGTATAGCGCTTCAGCCCAGCGCCTTGGGGTAGGCAAGTCTGCCATTGGCTGTTTTTCGGAGAATTCCTCATCCTGGTTACATTGGCATTAATTTCCCCAATTAAAAGACTAGTATCAGGTGCCAGAGAGAATCAAGTTCTATGCAGAAAGTCTAATGTTCTTGACACGCTGGTTGTGGGACATAAATAGACTATAAGCGCCCTACCAACGCCACGGATGCATTGGGATTATGGTATGTGTCGGTAGGTCCTCGGTGAGATGAATGGAAAAGTAGAGTGTTTATTTCCATCTTGATATGTAATCTTGAAACTACAAATGCGTGAAATACCAATGGTTTTCATTGAAGATGTGGTGAGTCGGATTAGGATATGTTAGTTCTGTATTTTCCTCAGCAGGAACGAGAAGTTCTCGTTCAAGTCTATAATGTTTGCGAACATCTTTTGTCTGCTAGTGAAATATTGACCATATATTCCGGGTTGTGGTAGGTAAAGAAAGAAGAACTTCTAACTTGACCAGGTGGGCTTGTGCTTACTCATCCATCTGGATATAACTATATTCTGGATATATTGTCACGTGCTGATTCTGATAGCTATTAAGATCACGTGTAGTGCTAGAAAGTTAGTCATCCATTAGCGCGACTTCGCCGACGGCCTTTTCAGTCTCTCATCGCGAGTCCCTAGCAACACTGCATCCTCAAAGGTTATTCTTGTGGCCGTTTCAGCGGTTCCCTATCCGGATGTAGCGACTGTGACCCTTTTTGCGGTATCATAGGCTCTCTCATATCCTCGCGACTTTCGATTCTTATCACGATGTCTGACGGTAAGTTTTCGCAAGCTCACTCGCTTGACCACATGCTAATCACCACAACAGCCGACCTCGAGGCCGTCCGACGGCTCCAAGCTGAGCGCAACGCCGCTGCTTCTCGTCAAAAAGGTTCTAGGACTTTTGACCCATCTGGTCAACGTACTGATAACTCGACCAAGGCCTCCCTGACGGACTCCTTCGATACCACTTTGTACGATCGGGATGGGGCGGAGAAATTCTCAGGCTACAACACATCCATCGCCGTTAATGGCGACGACGAGGAAATGGAGGATGCGAACGGAGGACACAGTTTGGTTGGCCAGTACACTGCCACCAGAAGCCAGATCGATGAGATGGCGCAAGGAAATGGGGTTGAGGAGGAGGACATCCTGCTAGGTCGTGAGAAGGCAGCCCGAATTGCAGACCGCGAGACGGACTACCAGAAGCGCCGATTCAACCGCGGACCCTTGACTCCTACACGCGCCGATCCCTTCGCCGCCAACGCCCACGCGAATGTTGAGGGAGAAGGCCAAACCTATCGTGAGGTGATGGCCCTCCGTGAGATTGAGAAGGAGGAAGAGCGCGTGCAAAAATTGATTGCGGAGAAGCGAGAGCGGGGTGAAGATGTGACAGAGCATGAGGCCACCCTGAAGACGGTGGAGCACGACAAAGAAAACGCCGATACTGGCTCGACAGTTCAAGTGGCCACCAGCAAGAAGCGTAAGAAGAGATGGGATGACGCGGCCCCGGAGCCTGCTCCTGAGGGAGAGGACCAGGTCGAGCAATCCGTAGCCAAAAGCAAGCGATCACGTTGGGATCAGACGCCCGCTCCTGGTGCGCCCGATGAAGCTCCCAAAGCCCGCTCGCGATGGGATCTAGCGCCCTCTCTCACAGCTGCGACGCCCGTCGGTAACCAAGGACTCGCCACCCCCATGCACCCATCCCAAGGTGCGCCTGTGGCTTCTGTCAATCTCGGGGCCGGTCAGGTCATCGGGTGGTCCGATGAAGAGCTTGATATCATGCTCCCTGGCGAGGCTGATGGCTACAAGGTCCTTGACCCTCCTCCTGGATACGAGCCCATCAGAACCCAGGCTCGCAAGCTCACGGCCACACCAGCGCCTATGGCTGCTGGCGGCGTGGGAGGATTCATGATGCAAGAGCCAGAAAGTGTTCGGTCTATGGGCAAAGAACTTCCGACTGATATTCCCGGCGTTGGTGATCTTCAATTCTTCAAGCCGGAGGATATGGCCTACTTTGGTAAGCTGATGGAAGGTAACGACGAAACCAGCATGACCGTTGAAGAAATGAAGGAGCGGAAGATCATGCGATTGCTGCTCAAGGTCAAGAACGGCACTCCGCCCATGCGAAAGACTGCCCTGCGGCAACTCACAGACAATGCGCGCAACTTTGGTGCTGGACCTCTTTTCAATCAGATTCTGCCTTTGCTCATGGAGAAGTCATTGGAGGATCAGGAACGCCATCTGCTGGTCAAGGTCATTGACCGTGTTCTCTACAAGCTCGATGACTTGGTTCGTCCCTATGTTCACAAGATTTTGGTCGTCATTGAGCCCTTACTCATTGACCAAGACTATTATGCGCGTGTTGAAGGTCGAGAAATTATCTCCAACCTTGCCAAGGCCGCTGGTCTCGCCACAATGATCAGTACGATGCGTCCTGATATCGACCATGTTGACGAGTACGTGCGAAACACCACAGCACGAGCTTTCGCCGTTGTGGCCTCTGCCCTCGGTATCCCCGCCCTCCTTCCTTTCCTCCGTGCTGTTTGCCGCAGCAAAAAATCCTGGCAAGCCCGACACACCGGTGTCAAGATTATCCAGCAAATTCCCATTCTCATGGGATGCGCCATTCTGCCTCATCTCAAGGGCCTGGTTGACTGCATTTCGGATAACCTCAGTGATGAGCAGGCCAAGGTCAGGACTGTCACCGCTTTGTCTGTGGCTGCTTTGGCCGAAGCTGCCAACCCCTATGGTATTGAAAGTTTCGATGAGATTCTGAATCCTCTCTGGACCGGTGCCCGCAAGCAGCGTGGCAAGGGTCTCGCTGCCTTCCTTAAGGCCGTAGGCTACATCATTCCTCTGATGGACGAGGAGTATGCCAACTACTATACCACTCAAATTATGGAAATTCTTCTTCGAGAGTTCTCCTCACCAGATGAGGAAATGAAGAAGGTGGTCTTGAAGGTGGTCTCTCAGTGTGCCAGCACCGATGGTGTGACTGCTAGTTACTTGAAGGAGCACGTCTTGACAGACTTTTTCAAGAGCTTCTGGGTCCGACGCATGGCGCTTGACCGCAGGAACTACCGCCAGGTGGTCGATACGACCGTGGACCTGGGCCAGAAGGTGGGCGTCGGCGAGATCCTTGAGCGCGTCGTCAACAACCTGAAAGACGAAAGCGAGCCCTACCGTAAGATGACTGTGGAAACCGTGGAGAAGCTGATTGCATCCCTCGGGGCCGCAGACATCTCCGAGAGACTGGAAGAACGTCTCATCGACGGTGTTCTCTTCGCATTCCAGGAGCAAAGCATCGAAGACATTGTCATCCTCAATGGATTCGGTACCGTGGTGAATGCACTTGGCACACGATGCAAGCCATATCTCCCTCAGATTGTCAGTACGATCCTTTGGCGCCTGAACAACAAGTCCGCCACCGTTCGGCAGCAAGCCGCCGATCTCATCTCCCGCGTTGCGATGGTCATGAAGCAGTGTGGTGAGGATGCTCTCATGGGTAAGCTTGGTATCGTTCTTTATGAATACCTGGGTGAGGAGTACCCAGAGGTTCTGGGTTCAATCCTGGGTGCTTTACGTTCCATCGTCACCGTGGTCGGTATCAACCAGATGCAGCCACCTATTCGAGACCTCCTTCCCCGTCTCACACCCATCCTGCGTAACCGTCACGAAAAGGTGCAGGAGAACACCATCGACTTGGTCGGTCGTATTGCCGACCGTGGACCGGAGTCGGTCAACGCCCGTGAATGGATGCGTATCTGTTTCGAGCTGCTGGATATGCTCAAGGCCCACAAGAAGGGAATCCGCCGAGCAGCCAACAACACATTCGGCTTCATCGCCAAAGCCATCGGACCACAGGACGTTCTGGCCACTCTCCTCAACAACTTGCGAGTCCAGGAGCGTCAGTCCCGTGTCTGTACGGCCGTCGCCATCGGTATCGTCGCCGAAACTTGTGCTCCCTTCACGGTGCTTCCTGCCCTGATGAACGAGTACCGAGTACCAGAACTCAACGTACAAAACGGTGTCCTCAAGGCCCTGTCCTTCTTGTTTGAATACATCGGCGAGATGGCCAAAGACTATGTCTACGCCGTCACCCCGCTGCTGGAGGATGCCCTTGTCGACCGTGACCAAGTCCACCGACAGACCGCCGCCGCCGTCGTCAAGCACGTCGCCCTCGGTGTCGTCGGCCTCGGCTGTGAGGACGCCATGCTCCATCTGCTCAACCTGACCTTCCCCAACATCTTTGAGACCAGCCCCCACGTCATTGACCGAATCATCGAAGCCATCGAAGCGCTCCGCATGGCGATCGGCACAGGAACTGTGATGAACTATATCTGGGCCGGATTGTTCCACCCTGCTCGCAAGGTGCGCACGCCTTACTGGAGATTGTACAACGATGCCTATGTCCAGGCGGCGGATGCCATGGTCCCTTACTATCCGGACATGGAGGGTGAGGCGGACCGACCGGAGTTGTCGATCATTGTTTGAGAATGGTGCAGTTAATGGATGTTCTCTTCATGCATTATTATTAGTCTTAGCTATGGGTGTTTCGATAGCCGGTGTTCTTCTTTCATTTCTTTAATGCAGGGACGTTCGGCGTCATGTGTTGCTGTACATCATTCGCAAAAGTCGTTAGGGATTACCAATTACATTTGAATGACTATGATTTATACCGTTGCTGTGTAGAAATGATTCGTGGGTATTGTGTGAGCTTAGTTGAGATATATATTGACGATCTGCTACTCCGACCGCGAACATTAATTTCCTTGACATTTGTCGCATTTCAACATAAACCTATATCGTTAACATAACAAGCTACAACCAACACATTTGAACCAATTACAAAACAAAACCAGTTGCGTCGTTGTAGAGTCGATCTTTCCTTATAAAACCCCGACCCTGGAACAATCGACGGCCAAGCATAGTGACAGGGCCATAAGGGCAGGGATCGCTCCTAAAAGCGTAAATCATGTCAATCATACTAAACAAAGGACAAGTCTGGGGTAGAGAGGCCAGTCTACAGTACAATCTACACATATATCTCCAACTAAACATAGCAACAGTAATATTTCTACCTTGTCCAAATGTCCAAAGCATTCAAGGTACACGTAAAATGCCTTAAGACGGAAATGCAAAATCCCCTCGGCTCAGCTCCGTTCGCCCTGTCGCCACGCAAAAAATAGAAACGCAAAGGAAAGGAAAAGGAGGGGCCCGGAATACAGTAACATAGTACACAGGGTTGGGAGTGGGAGGGATGGGGGTCTGCCAAGGAGCGCCAAATGCCTAAGCTTGCCGTGAGTGGGCTTGGCGCAGGATGTGGCCGCGTAAGCTGGCCATGTCAGGTGTGGAGAAATTAAATTGAATTGCTAGGCTTGATGATTAAGGGTCTTTCGCCCTGCAGCTGCATGTATACTACTTGTAGATTAATTAACTTATGCTATAGTATCTACGTAGATATTATATATCTGATGGAGTGTATAGATTGAAATGTAGATATGATATGGATATAGATGAGACTGGAGTATACGGAAGTACATATCAAGTCCACTAAGCTTATTTCCCTTGCATACCCTAGTACGCCTACCAAAGATCAGATTCAAGACCCAATTATTTGGGATTGGAGTATGTAGAGCTTCAAAGCTACACAGCCTCCCCCTGAATTCAAGGACATGTAGAATCCCCAATCACGACCCGGGAATGGAGTTGAATTCATTTCTTTTCAATGGTACACACCTCAGCTCTATGGAGTCGAACACACAGACCCTGATAAGGGGTTGTGTGTGACGCCCCTTTTTGGCTTTTGGCTTTTACCTTTTACCTGGCGATTTCATTGTTACAGGGATTTACTAGTAAATTGAATTTCCGTTTCTGATTTTCAGGGTCTACTATCCGCTTTTGGCGCTGAGGATCAGAGTTTATTCTTATTTCATATTTCTTAATTTGTGTCTTTTCTCTCCTTTTTTTTATTTTATTTTTAATTCTGCCCTATCACCGACCTCTATACTTCCAATTCCACTACGGATATCCTTTTCCATGCCCATTCCCTAACCACTTCTCACGGTGGCAGACACGGCTCACACAATCCACACCATGCAAGGACCATTGGATCCAATTTAGATGGAGCTTCATAGATCCATAGATCGTGGAGTCGCACATGCAGGGCAGGAACGCCGAGGTGACCCACCAAGCGATACAGTTTGTAAGTAGGCCTTTTTGCAGTATAGAGGGTCGCGTGTTGCGCTTGATTATGGTGAAGGTACTCCGTTCTCCATACTCCGTGAGATTAACTATGGAGCCCATGTACGCGTCCTTCCTCTGTGCGTGGATGGACTGTACTCTGGACATGTCCCAATGTACCTGTCAAGCAATGCAAGGCTACCGAAATTTGAATTCAAATTCCAAGTCCTCGGATTCATGTGAAGGGTCTGGCGACTAGATTGGAGACAGACTGGAGACATCAAGGTTATGTGGACAGGTTGGAGAGCTACCACCAATCAGCTGGGGGATGGCGCAAGATGGACAGGGATCGGGGGGTTGGGAGTTGGGAGAAGAGATGCGCTTTGGAATGATGCTTCTATGGTATCCTGCATGCTGTCAATGCTCTGACTCTCTCTAATGTACTGTATCTGGCTATTCTTCCGGATACTCTGTGAGGGTTGGTTGCTATTGATCCAATTTAATTTTTTTTCTGGTTACCGCCGTATTGCCTTGCAAGGGATTGAAGACCCTGCAGGACGCCTCCATTCATGCTGACGGTTAAGGCATACTGTGAGGGGCGCGGGCGCGCACACACACCTGCAGACCGACACACCTACATGTATGGAGTAGACATTGTGGCACTGGCGCCTTTCGCGCGTCACATTTTCTTCTTCACGACGTCAACGGGATGTGGTGTGCTAAGACTGAGACTAGGAAGTTGGCCGTGGGTGTGTCTGTGCCTAGTGCATTTCTGTCGGGTGACATACGCCAAGGAAGGATGCTCTCCACCTTCTGCAAGTATGTGGTTTAGTGTATGGGGAGCTAGATGTACATTTACGTAGTGGGTGATAGATGATGCTATACAAGGTTCCGGTTTGAGTAACTAGTACGGCAAGGTCAGTGGTTTGGAGTGGACTGGGTTTGTATTTACAACGCACACCGTCTCTTCTCTTGCACGTCCAATAATGAGGTTTTTGTTCCGGGGAACTCCAACAGAACCGCGTCGATGGGATTGGGGCGAACTTTCCTTTGATGGTGGCGGCGGGGGCCGATCCAACAGTCACGTATATCGCCGTTTTCAGGGTTTGGTGGAATTGAGGCGTGTTTAGTCTACACCCTGATGTCAGCCCCATCAGCCATGTCCGAAGTTCTCCGTGAGGTTTCCGAATCTGGATCTCGATACGAGACCCGGATGATATAGACGTCGACTGCAGGATTTAAGGCTAGGGTCAAATTCCCCGGATTGGTTTAGACTCCGCTATAAAATATCGGATCTTGGAATCAAATTAAATCGAAAAATACAGAGGGAGAGTCCACTTGGGCGTTTCAAGTTGTTAGCGTTGACCCTGAGAGTGGCAGTGTTCCTAGTGGGAAATGTGGGACCAAAGGTCACGTCATGGGGATACATATCTGGGTCTGGTTGCTGTTATTGGGCCATTTTCCAGAAAATTGGGAATATTTACTACTCCAACAACAAAAAGAGACAAAAAAAGGAAGCGCAAAGGGTCCGAGACATAACCAATACCACGTTGAGAAAGCACGGGACGAGCACGCGTCAGCTGTGAGTGGAACTACTAGTCTTATTGGTCGATCAACTCGTGCCAAGCTCGGCTATCGACTATCTGCCGTCCCCAGATGGGTCCGTCTTGCAACTGGTCCACTATGATTGGTGAAGAGCTCTGCACAAACATGTAAGAATGTGGAGTCAACCATGGACTGAAAACTGAACTACTTTAGGGGTCCGGTATCGGTGGCTTCTGTTTTTTGGGTGTGTTGTAGGGCCATTTTGCCTGTTTATCCGGCGGTAGACCTTACAGTCTGTGTCCACTGTGTCCACCATGGATGCGACCCTGAAGAATAATTAAACGTTTCTATGTATAGATGTGTCTGCATGGAAACAGGGAATATATCCCAGAGAGTAGATGCAAATTCCAACATACATTGTAGCATTATGCATCATACATACATATCAATGTACACTTTAAGAACGGTGATGTGCAACCAACCTTGATTTACAGTAGGGACAAGGACGATCTGCCGTGTGGGAACCGCCAAGATCGGAGCCCCGTGCAGATGACAGGCCTTTGTTCGGCCAAGGACCGGTACCTGATTGACATTCGGCATTAAGGCGGATCGTCAGATCTGATTAGAAGTGTACTTTGTTCAAAATAATAGTAGAGATTGATCTACAGAATGTGATGTTATACATATATGCTGCAGTATAAGATGCTCCAGACGTCAAGTAGATGAAGTCTGGGGTACTCCAAGTCTATTTCTCCGACAATTTAGCGGTCTTTCCATTTGACCGCCCTTCCTTTTCAGCGGGTTTCTCGGATGGAATAGAGAAAAAAAAAGGACATTGCCACAGGACGCGTCAACATGAGCCGTCTCACGTTAGCGCAAAAGAGAAGCGGTCAGTGAAGATATTGGCAACATTGGCATCAACTTGGAAAGTACATACTCCACCCCTCCCGTGTCTAGCTTGGGCCTCTATGAACTGTACTCCGTAAACCTTACCCTACTGCTCATCCGGCACAATCCGACTCTACATGCTTTTCCCAGAACTACTGAACGCCATCACAAATAAGCCAACACACACATAACCTCTTGGCGCCTCCTCATCCTGCACTCAAAATTCATCCAGCGCCACCATGTCATGCCAGCACAGAAAAATCGGAGTTCTGCCGGTCAAGTGTGGGCCGCACGGCAGACTGAAAAAAGGGGGGCTCGAACTGGAGCCCAGGTGTTGCTTATGTTCACTCTTTCGCTTTGAGGATTGTAGCTCAGGTGTATTCCTCTAGGCTCCATAGTTGCGCTCGAAACGGGTCAGAATCTGCTTTGTTCTGTGGACATGGGTACCCGACGGGTTTTGGGCTGGATGTCCACCCTATGCCGGAAGTTTGGCGAGACCTGAGACCATTGTGTCGGGTTTTGGAGAGTACAGAGAGTAGCTACTGTCTATTGTCCCGGTAAGTTTCCGATTTGGGCGAATAAAGGTAGATATTGTAAAGAAAACTTAATCGGACTCCAACCGGCATTTGCAGACCCATGGTCTCTGAGGTACACTTCCTCGACCCATGGTTGCCCTTTTTGTTGCCACAGGCAAACCCCGGCGCATCCATGGTTGTGCATCGTTCTTTACCTGAATCACATCTCTAAGTTTTTCTGGAAAAGCAGGGAATGCGGAGAAGTCAGGTGAATATAGCCAAAGCCATGGAAGGCTCTCCGCAGTGGCAAGCCTCATTCCTTCTCGCGTCCACGGTTGAATATGTTTCGGTATCTTTCCGGGAGAGCACCTGATGATCTCCAACAGATATACTTCCGTCTAACTCGTTGCGTCGTTCCTCCCCCCGGTGGCTAAATGGGGGAGCCCTATTAGTCTCTGAACCCTGGACAGTGATTGGGCGTGTTCCCGGTTCTTCAGCATTTCCTCGGCTGTTAATCTCGTACCTTGTGAAATTCATTTCGGGAACCCAACACTCGGGGACCTTCTATAGTTCCCGAACTGGTAGAGGGTTCCACTATGCCTATGCCCAGAGAATTACAACTGTAAATAGAATTAGTATGGAAAGGGAAATAGTATGGAAAGGGGAAAGGAGAATTTTTTTTAAAAAAAGAAAATAAGAAAAAGAAAAAGGGTCAAGGGTGTGATATGTCCGATTTAGGCCTCGGTCGCATCAACCGCGCAGCCGCCGCTAATTTGCCCAAAGCCCTTTACCTTTACCCCCATGCACCCCCCATGGCGGGTTACATACAGCCCACTGTGACGTCTTAGTGTCCTCGAGATGGCAGATAGCTCTGCCGACCTTTTATCGTCACAGGACTTGATTTGCGTTCTATGTGATACAGCTCGCATTCCCCGGGTAATAGCATATAATCCTGCAGGGCTGTCTACTTTCTACTGTATGGCTGTATGGCTGGCACGCCTCCATCTGCGGACATAGTCCGAGAGAAAACAAAGTCTGGTCCTCACTTTCCCGGGTGGAGTTGGAGTGGATTATACGCACTGTACATCCTCCACATGGAGACTGGGATTCGAAACAGTCCCTTTGAAGATGTCAGTCGTCATCTTGGGGATTAAAATGTAGTCAATAATGCTAAAAGCTAGTGATTTCGAAGGAGGGGGGGGAGATGGTCGCGCAGACACGCTAAACCCCCTCTGTGCCGTGTCAAAGCTGTGGCTTAAGCCCAAATTCCGAGGCCCGCCCACTATCGAACGTGTTCACAGAGTGAAGACTCATATTAACGGCACGGGTATACCCATTGACAAGAAGCCCCGCTGGCTTGAAACAGAGGAGAACCGTGGTGTTATTCTTGGCGTCTCTTTTGGTCTTTTGGGGCATTTTCTATTCTTTTTTCAGACACGGCACAGAGCATTCCCCCTTGAGTCTTGTTTTTGGTCTTATTTGGGGTATTACGTGGTGTGTATTTACCTGACACTAGACAGTCCGGTTAAGCAATTAATATATTTAAAGTATCCCCAGTACTGCTTAGTGTAGACTATAGGGAACTATGAGACAGAGTAAGATGGAATAGAAATAGAGGACAATGGGAGAAGATAAAATCAGAATAATAGGAATAAATTAAGAAATAAAATAAGAGTAAGAAATAAGGAATAAAATAAAGATAAATTAGAGAAATAAAAAAAAGGGAAAATGAAATAAAATAAATAAAAAAGAATTACAATACACGTATGGATCTGCAACCCCCGGCGGGACGTCGTCAGTGGCACTGCTATATTGTCCCCTTCATAAGCTTCGCCGATCCCCTTCCCCAGACTGCTTTCTACTTTTTCTGATCATCGGGTCTATCACTCTCTCTTTTGACGATCTATATTCTGCACAATAACATCCTCCATGACGATGGTTATGGAAAACCAGAACCGCCCTTATGGCGGCATGAGCTTCGACAGCGTCTACCACAACCCACCGCAATTCACGGATCCCTGGGCACACTCTACATCGCACTCGACACCTCCAGTCTACGCGACCTCCATGGGCAATGGCGCCAGCATGCCCATCAAGGAGGAGGTGAACCGCCCTGGCATGTCCATGCCATACCCCAGCATCCCAGTTTCCGCGCCGTCAATGGTGCCAGGGAGCACCTACGCGACCGGATATGGCCCAGAGGTGATGGGCATGCAACATGAGGTGCCGCGCACAACGTTCGACCAGGCACCTTCCTACACCACTGCCCCGCCTATGAGCAGTTACGCGCCGGCTAGCTATGCGCCTGTCAGCTACGCACCAATCCACCCCTCGCCCACAGACAGCCGTCGCATTTCGCACTCGTGAGTGAATCTTGATTTACTCGAATCGCGCAGAAAAGCCCAATTCTAACACTGTATATAGAGATGCCCGCGTTGGCCCCTCACCCGCATCCGCACCCACCTTCGGTGATGCGCTCGATGCAAGCCGTGGAATGGTCGCTCTCAGCCAGGACCTGACACCGCGCAACATTTACGGCCCTGGCCCTCGCGGTGCGCGGGGCTCAGCCGATTCCTACGGTTTCCCCTCGACGCACTCCTCCACCTCCTCTATCTCCTCCGGCGGCAACTACCCCTACTACAGCGCCTCAGTCGGCTCAGTCGACTCCTCCGTGACAGACTACAGCTCCACAACTTCCGAGTCATACGAGTCGCGCACTCTCCCGCGACCAACCAGCCTCTTGGCCGGTAGTGCTCCCCCGGCCCTCAGTCCATGATGAGCCAGTTCAGCTCCAAGATGCCCTCCAACACTCAGAAGAAGCACAAGTGCAAGGTGTGCGACAAGCGTTTCACGCGTCCATCTTCTTTGCAAACACATATGTACAGCCACACTGGCGAGAAGCGTGAGTTTACCCAGATATTCGCATTAAAACACCGATACTAACTAAGTGCAGCGTTTGCTTGTGATGTTGAAGGCTGCGGGCGGCACTTCTCCGTCGTGTCAAATCTGCGCCGACACAAGAAGGTCCACAAGGGCGAGAAGGACGCCGGCTCCGGCGACGACGACGAGTAATCTCGTTCTCCATACGATCTGACTCTATTCTACTCGAAGCGGTCAACCCCTTTGAGCGTGCTCTCTCTCCCTCGAACTATGCGCTCAACGCGCCAAATTGCCTATCCCGCCGCAGGACCGTTTCCCCTTTTAACCCCGAGTCCCTCTCATGATCCAACTGCGTTGGCATCGCTATATTAATGGCTCGGGCTTGTCTCCTTGTACAACAGCATGGACCACACATTTTCTATTCTCTATTTCACTCCGGATACATTTACCAAGCGGAGAGAGAACTCCTTGATACCCCCTTTTTCAAAAGGACTGCTCTGGGAATATCCGGCTCGGTTCGAGGGATTTTTTTTTTTTTTTTTTTTTTGGGCAGAGAGAGTCCTTTTTTCATTTTCCCTTTCATTATTTCTTTTGTTTGACCCACGTTACGACCATAGAGGTACCGGCTGGATATGCGTTGCTGTTTTTTTTTATTTTCATTTCTTATTCTTTCGCTAGACCTGGGCGTCACCTTTTTGCTTTTTTCGATACCATGGGCTTGTGATGATGCGATGTGCTTGCTGCTTTCTTCTGGGACCCTTTTTTTCTGTCTGGTTTTTCTCTTCTACTTATTACTTTCCCCCTTTTGTACAGGCTGCATTACTTTACTGCACTTGTTCATTTTTTCTTCTTAATCTTCTAGCCTGCATGGCGTGTCTTGCATGGTTTAGACCTATTACATTTACACCTTTTTTAACCTTTCACTATTGGCCCCTTGCCTCCTTTTCAATATATGCCGCCCTTTAGCTCTAGCTCGGGGCTTTGTGTCTGCTTTTTTCAGGGTCGTCCATTGTTTCCACCGGGTCTACGTTTGAGTGATGACGGGTTCTAGTGTTTTTGGGTTGGTGTTGGTGATGATATACCCGCATAGGTGAAGCATTGTTAAATTTCTTTTTTTGTCAACTAAGTAGCTGTGGCCGGCTGAGTTTACCTCACTGTCGCTATAGTATAACTATATTGTCTCATCTATTGAGACAAACCTCCGAACTATTTTTTGCAATGATTGTAGTTCTTGTGCCTTGTTAATCTACCTTTGATATCATTTTCTTACAGCCATCAAGCCGTCCACAAAACATCCATCCTATGTCAGCCCTAACTCTCCCCGCCCCCGTAGCATGACGTCCAAACACAGCTCTAGCAATCAATCAACCCCTAAGGATCATTATCGCAAAGATCCCCTAGTATCTCCCCAATCTAAACAGGATTCATAATCAGAAACGGGGCCGATCATGGGCGAAGCCTAAATAGACTTAGGAACGACTAACCTAGTCACCCTCAACCTAACCACAGCAGGCTCCCTTATTAACCATATGAATAGAATCATTGAAACAACCTAACCTCCAGAATAAACCCCCTCTTATTAAAAAGTTTAACCTCTGGCATATCCTAGTTAGCTTCCCAAGCAATACACCCTTAACCCTCACGATATCCCCTAGGTAATAGTAGCTTCTAGCGAAGGTCGCTGGCGACCTCACCTAACCCTTGATTTCGGAAGTTTTCTCGTAGATATAGGAATCAAGTTCTATTTCGAACTTCCACTTACTTTCTCCTCTTCCTCACTTTCAACTCTCCACCTCACTCTCTACACGTTGGCTGGTATCCTCATGCCTCCTCCTATTATCGGCTCGTTGGGTACCCAGCCGCCAAGCAGTTTCAGCCTCAGCGCATCCTCTATCCCTTCATGATGCTGATTGTCCTCTCCTATACACCATGCTTATACTATCCAAATGGTTAACCACTACAACCCTGATCTGGAGCATTTACCGCGCTGAATTCCGAGTCCACACCTCCATACAATGGGGAACTGAAAGGGTGCTGAGGAGTACGTTTTCGCTGCCTATCATTAGGAAGCCTGTTTCTTTTTACTTTTTTGGCTACGGTTTTGCATGGGGAATATGAGTGAGATGTGAATGTAGGCTTCAGTGCACAGTTTAGGGCTTCGGTTCTCCCCGTTCCCCACCTCCCCGCGGTTGGAGTGTCGATCTTAGTTTGCATGGGAGACGTAGTTGCATTGGACATAAATTCGGTGTTAAATGTTCAGGCAATTCGACGGGAGAGTGATAAATCTAGCTATTGCATAGTCATCACCTACGAAAAAAACTTGTTATACAATGATCGCAATGCAATTATAATATTCAATATTCAACCAATATTCTTAGCCTTAGTCGAGATTCCGACCGTAACAAGCAGATGCAGGACAGCCCCAACGCCAATTTGTGATCCATGCCAATGGATAGAGCACAATGTAATTACTGAGCTCGACAGCACCAGGCATATCGCAGCTCCATTGATAATGGGCACCCTTAGTGAATACGGTCCAACTTCGCCCGGTTCATGGCGATCTGATCGTCGACGAAATCGCTCTGCAGACAGTTAGTCTCATGTTCAAAAACATCCTGAGGTATCTGGAAAAACTCACCTTGCCCATGATACGCTCCAAATGTCTGTTCTGCTCGTCCAACTCCTTGCCAGTAGCCTTGGCAAGACCGTTCAGACGGCCAGTGGCGCCACCAAGCAGATCCAGGTTCTGTTCAATCTCATCCTCCATCGCCTCATCCTCGCTATCCGCCTCGAACTGGTACTTGGCACGCTCGGTAACACTGGCCTTCTTGCCCTTGACTGGCTTGCTCGCGCGGTCAATGTCACGGAACACCCGGTCCATACGCTGGTTGGTGGAATGCGCCTCGGACCGTGTGCCATCACGGATATCACGCTCCTCGCGGTGTGTGTTGAGAACCTTCTCGTCACGTTCGCGCCGACGCCGGGAGGCGGTAAACGGGTTCGCCACATGCACGGCGAACATGCTCTTGTTGAGTGTCTTGAGCTCCCTGGCTTTTTCTTGCGCAATGCGGCCCTCGATGGTCGTCATGTCCAGACTCTTTTCGGTATCGTGGATCGACTCGCCCTGGGCACCTAGACGGGCCAATGTGGCGCGACCGGTCTCTTCAGCCTGTGCAGCGGCACGGAGTGCATTCCGCGTAGACGCCACATCACCCTGCTTGACAAACCGCATCTCCTGCTTCACGCCCTGGATCTCTTCCTCCTCCTCTTCCTCCGCGGTCAGCTGGCGGTCCTGGAAGGTCGCCATGCTGTACTCGTTGCTCCCGCCACCGTAGTTATTCGCCGGGCCCTGACCTTCAGAGTAAGGCGGGGGCGCACTGCCGGATCCATTTTCCGGGGTGCGGTTCTTGGCGCTTCCGAACAATTCGCTGCGAGCTGCATCCGCAGCCGCGGGGTCATTGGGATCCGAACTGCCCAGACCGCCGTAGCCACCGTTTCCATACCGCGAATTCGATCCCGAGGCCGAACTGCCAGCGCCTGCGCTGTTTGAGCCGAATCTGTCACTGCCATAGCCGCCCTGGTTGCCGAAGCGGTTGGCGGTGTACCCAGAAGAGTACTTGTTGTCGGAGGGGATGTTATGCGGGCTGTTCGACGCGGGGCCTCCGTTGGCGGCGGGGTGGTCGGCAGGTAAGGGGGCGACACCGGCGCCAATCTTGGCTTTTGTGTAGGGGTCTACTGGAATTGGTTGGGCGTAAGGGTTGGTAGGGGGAGTTGGGCTCTTGTCCTTTTTGCGCGAGCCAAAGAGTGCTCGGCGGCTGGAGTCGTCGTCGCCATCGGATTTCTTAAACAGACCCATGATGACAGATAGAATAGATTGATGAATTAAAAGAAGTGAGAGTGCAAGAACAAGAGAAGAGAAGAAAAGAAAGGAAGAAGTGAGACGGAAAGAGAAAGACTCAGAACGTGAGACGCCTTCAGGGGAGTTTCGATGTCGAGAACGCCGCCTGATGGTAAGTTACATACCAACGTCACACAGCAATAATTTCCAAACATTCAATACATGACCATACCAATACCTGTTACATCAGCAGTGGCAGTGCACTAAACCGCATGCGGGCGCAGTGGCACTTCAACCTCTGTTTATTTTTGGCCACTTGGGCTATTTCTGGCTGTTCTGCTGCCTGGGAAGAAGAGATGGGGTCTGATGCTGATCACTTTAGAGACAAGGCCAGGAGGGATCTACTGACTTTACTCGAAGCCGTGAGTTCCCCTTGAATTCCCGGGGATCAGCGCTAACTACTGTCCAGACCCGGGGTAAGAAGAACCTCGTCATAAGCCAGGAGCTGGCTGGTCCAGTCGGGCTATTTGTCAAGTTCTCCGTGCTCCAGGAGTATGGTGTGGACCGAGTTTTCCTGCTGGAAAATGCAAACATCGACTCATCACAACGCAATGTGGTATTCCTGGTTCGTGGCGAGAAAGCTCACCACGTTCGAATTGTGGCAGGTATGGTTACTTCATGTTTATACTCTGCTTCGTTCGGTTCAATGCCTCGGCAATGGGGCATCATGAGATTACGCAGATGCTTCCTACTCTATGTGGTCCATTGAAATGTCCCTATATTGATTTACATGTTTCATTTTCATGTCTTTACTGGCTCGTTTCATTGGCGTTCTTTCCCGCTTCCTTCGAATGAGTGCCATCAGGATGAGCTGACATTTCTTTCTAGAACAAATCAAACGCTTGCAGAATAATGGCAACGTTGAACATGAATTCTCTATCTTCTTCGCTCCCAGGCGGACTCTTGTGAGCAATGCGGTTCTGGAAGAGGCGGGTATCATCGGCGACGTGAATATCGCCGAGTTGCCTCTCTATTTTATGCCCCTGGAACAGGATATC